GGAAGGAGTAGATACTAAGTTAGTTAGGAAAAGGTAACAAAACCTAAGGATAAGGTCTTTATCTCTCTAAGGTTAAACACATACTCTAGTACAGTATTACTTAATAACCTTAACTAAAGACAAGTCATTTAGAATGCTTGTATAGAGAGAGGATCTGGAAAGAGTATAGTGTTTAGAGTAAGAAGTATAAAGGAAAAGACTAGAAGAAAACCTGAAAAGATAAAAGGAAAATATTATACTTACTTGAGGAGAAACTATATAGTTAGCTAGGAACACTTTGTATAAAGACAAAGGACTATTAAAGCTAGTAAAGAGTTAGAGCTAATACTCTGAAACTCTATACTTAAGGAGGACTAGTACTAGTAAAGGAAAGGGAACTGAGAGCTCTAAGGAGAGACTATAGGAAAGTAGTCTCCTTTATACACTTTACTTATATAGATAGGAAAGTAATAAAGTTATAAATATGAGGACTACATAAGGACAACATAAGGAATACATGAGACAATCTAGAACTTTGGTTGTAAGTTCTAGGATTGAATACAGAAGTATAAAGATAAGGTTAGAAGTTAATAAGGATAATTGTCTCCTAAACTAAGTCTATTAAAGAAGACTTAGGGAAAGAGTTAGAACATTAGTTGTCAGTTCTAGAGTGTACACAAGACAGTCTAGAACTTTGGTTGTAAGTTCTAAGGGTAGTACAGAAGTACAGCCTTTTATATTATAAGAGTTATAAGGAGTTATTAGAAGTCATAATACTCTACCTTATAAGAAAGTGTATTACAAACTAGTGTACAGGAAGTACAGGTCAAGTTAGACAGAGTTATAGGAACAATAGAGAGCTCTACTTTATGAGAAAAGCATTATACAGCTTACACAGTATAACTAGTTAGGAGGACTTATAAGGAGTCATTAAAAGTATGAGAGGAAGTATAGAAGACATAACAATATAGTAAAGGAGTTATTAGAAGATTAATCTAAAATATAAGAAGACATAAACTAGTGTTAGCAGATTAATAGAAGACACAAACTAGTGTAGTATACAGTCTAAAGGATTAGCCAGCTCTACTTTATAAGAACAACAGTAAAGAGAGTTACTAAAGTTACTAGATTAACATTACTCTAGTAAAAGGTATATAAGGAGGCTAGTTTAGCTCTTAAAGGATAGTTTTATTAACTTAAGTTACCTAGTACTTAGAAGTACTCTACTACTAACCTACTAGGCTACACTTGTAGCTTGACTAAAGTAGGACTCCTCTACCCTCTCACTCTATAAGTCTACAAGTCTTACCCTCTATACTCTATTCTGTTACTATTTCTAAGGATTAGAACTAGTAAAGTAAGTATATCTTATACTAAGGCCTACTAGACAAGGGTTCAGACTCCTCTACATTTGTATTAGATTCTAGATCACTCTTAGGAAGAAGTCTTAGTAGACCTGATTAGTAAGCTACTCAAGTCTTAGGGTTATAACACTATCTGTATAATTATTAACTAATTCTCTAAGTCTATACAGTTCTGACTCAAACAGAACTTACTTCTAAAGGTATAGTGTATATCTATTAGGATTATGTTTTCTAGTTGTACAGACTCCCTTAGAAGCTCATTCACAATTGTAGACTGTAATCTGAGTCAAAATTCATACAGGACTTGTATATACTTCTCAGAATTCAAAAGAACCCTTCTACTACATATTACTTATAGACTAATAGTTAAACTGAGTAAGTCAATCAGGAGATTAAGCTCTATCTCTAAATGTTTATCAATTATTAGTAATTAGATTAGTCTGAATAGTTAACTCTGACAGAATTCATACATAATAACTAGTAATACTCTATAACAGGACAGTCTCTGTTCTTCCTCAACTATAGGAGACATTCATACTAGAGGACAGTTCTAAACTAGAACAATAGTTCTGAATCTGTAACAGACTTTGTAGAATGAATGTATAAGACTAGAGAGGATGTATAAGCTCTTTTAGAGAAGATAGTACAGGTTATAAAGTAGAACTATAATTAGAAGAGATCTGTAGTTAAGGATTACTAGCCTAGTAACAAAGTTATACTAGAAGCTACTAATCTGACCTTAGATTACTTAATAAAGAAGTTGGACAACAAGCACTTTAGACCCTTTGTTATTAAAAAGAAGGTTAGTACCTCTGTCTACAAACTCTAACTTTTAGTAACATAAAAGTGTATACACCTAGTGTTTAATAAGGTTCTGTTGTCTTAGTACTATAATCCAGGTTTTCCTTTATAACAAAGACTCTTACTACCTCTATTAGAACTTATTGGTTCTAAACCAGAATATAAAGTAAAGTACATAGTAGATACTAAGCTAGTACAAGGAAAACTCAAGTTTCTTGTTTACTAGAAAGGGTACCTAGTTAAAGAGTACACTTAGGAACCTACTAAGAACCTTACTCATACTCTTAAGACAATCTGAGACTTCTATCAGCTTCATCCTAGTACTCTGTGTAAACTCAGTCTTACAGATTTCCAAGCCCTACTGTTCTAACTTATACTTAAACTACTGACTAAGTCTAATATTCACCAATTAGAACAATTGGTTTTAGAGGGAGGGTAATGTTACAGTTCTCTACTCTTGTACCTTCAGTTTCAAGGGTTCTACACCCTTCTATACTAGAACTTGGGACTTCTGTCCCTTAAGAGTACTATCTATAAACTATATACATACTAACTCTTACTACTACCCCTCCTTACTTTATCATTCTATTCCTTTGACCACCCCTTCATTCTTTACTCATTCTATAGTCTCTTACCCTTTGTCTATCCCTTCATTCTTTATACCTTTATCTTTGACCTTCCTTTCTTTCATTCTTTATAGTTCATTATTCTTAGTAGCTTATACTCTCTGAGTACTCTTGTATAGTTTAGTATATATAAGTGTACAAGATTAGACTAGTTCTGTAGTCTTGATCTTGTCTACTCTAGGTAGTCCTATACTCTTAGACTTACTCTATATACTCTACTCTTGTCTTACTCTCTCTCTACATCTGTTCTACAAGTTCCAACTATGTTCTAGTACTTATGTTCTGTATTTCTGTTGTGTAGAATAGTTGTAGCCTAGGTCCCCTTACTAAGCCTTCAGGTCCCCTCTACACTGTTACTAACACAATAAACAATATTTACATTAGACTCTCTAAGTTTATAAAATGTAATACAGTGAAACCTGTTAATAAGTATACTTGTAGTTTAGCATTTCCTCTTAATAAGTATGAAAAATTTGATCCACCAAGTTGGTAGGCAGGAAAATAAAGGTATATTAAGTATAAAGGGCATTAAGTATTAAGCATTAAGGTGTAAGATTGAGAATATACTTAATTAAAGGAAATTTTGGGTCATGTGACAGTACAGATCATAACCTAGAGAGAGCCACTTTTTGTACAGACTACCTCCATTTTGTAAAATAAATGTGTAATGTAATAAAAACCACTATTAAAACTTATTGTTCATTATGTCTGAGGAGCTTGACTGTACACAGAACCTAGATAGAACACTCAAGGATGCTAGTGAAATTGTTTTCACTTATCCTAGAGAAGCTTCCCCTGTCAATCTCTCAGCTCTGCTTCCAGATATCTATACTTCTACTAGTATTTATCTACAAACAAGTACAGTCAATGATACATCTCTACCAAAGGATCCTGCCTATAGTAAAGTACTAAAGTTGAAGTATTAAAAGCTATGTGGAGACTGTCCAATTACTTTCAAAGCTCAATACACTCTTTCAGAGTAAGATTGGTGCTGAGTTTACTAAGGCTAGAGCACTTTTTCTAAAGCTTACAAGAAACCTATGTAAGAAAATAAATAGTTCTCTTGAACAGACTAATATTTGGTTGTTTTTTAAGTAGACAATGTATTATTGAGTTATGTACTACAAATAAGGAAATTTTATTACTTTACTTAAGCTACTGTCAACAAGCATAACCTCTTATTAAGTATGGCCTCACCTGTCCACAGTAGGTCATACTTAGTAACAGGTTTTACTGTTTAAGGAGTATACATTTTCTATATTCTTTTAAGATTGTAGGCCCTGTAAGGGATTACCATATATAGTAGACCATACACAGAACCTCTTCACCAAAAGGGTGCAATGTTAAGCTTGGCTTGACACCTGGTCCACACTATATATACTAATAAATGTCTGTGTCCTAACAGGCCCTTAATTTTGGCTTAAGCTTCTAGCATGACTTGGAGATGTTTATTTGTCTGTGTGACTGTCAGAATTAAAGTTTGCTAAACCTCCTTTGAGTCAAGTACAGACTTAACAAAGGAATTGGTAGCACTTTCCTTGATTTTAGTATTAACATTTGTTAATTATGTCTTAACATTATTGTATTGTTTCAATGGGTTTGTATTAGATCCCTCCTAGCATGTTGCATTAGTGTTTATAGACTCTTGGCTATGAAGACATGTACAGCAAACATTGCCTGTACCTTTGACTACCTCACCAAACTTGTTATAGTGTTCAATCAATCCAAGAATGCAAACTGGAGCAAAAGGGCAGATTCCAGCAATTTCATTTTACCATTTCAGAATTTCCTGTTGGATGCAAACCAAACCCGACATTTCTATCAGCACGTATATTTTGAGAATTGCATCCCAAAGAACTCTGATTGCCCTGATCTGATGGTGGCCGAGTTTAAGGAAACGAAGTAGCAAAACAACTGTTTTAAGTAACTATGTAAATAGATACAAAGCGCGGGAAGGGAGTTACCTCGGCTAATTTTCCAATGGAAGGCAACTTGTATTCATCCTGCCGCACTATTTTTTTCTCACTAAGGCTTCCCAATTACCAAGCTGCCTTTAAAGTGGCTGCAGATTAAAAGAGACCATGTGAGACCTCCTTCACAGAAAAACTATATAAGCGGAGCGGCCCTACTATTTTTGCACAGTTTAATCGCCCTCTACTCAGTTTCCTGGTTCCACATCGACCCATTGCACATTCAATTCTTGCAAACTATCTAGACCTAGAGAGAAACTATGGAATACGATTCTAAGAACATGATCTTCCGCCGTCTTGGTCCTAGTGGGCTGCGTGTGCCGGTATTCGCGCTCGGTGGATGTGAGTACCTTCTCGCTTGATAAGGCGAATCGTCAAAGTACTCACAACTCGCTTGAAGGGTTGACTATCGGAGGGACCGTCAAGGGCGACCCTGTCAAGGTACTGCATAGATTGTGCTTGGCACAATATTTTCCTTGACACTGACAAAATGTGAATTGGTCACAGGACATAATCAAAACAGCTTTCGAACATGGAATCAACATGTTTGACACTGCTGAAGGGTACGAAGCCGGAAAGTCAGAAGAGGAAATGTATGTACCTATTCAAGCCTCCAAGCCTCCCACATATGACATATAAATTTATTAACCGCCATATTATCCTTAGGGGACGCGTGTTCAAGGAATTGGGAGTAGACCGTACATCACTCGTCATTTCAACTAAACTCTTCTGGGGACCAGGGAAAGGTCCTAACGCAGGTGGTCTCTCGCGTAAACAGTACGTATAATATATCCTTTATCACTAGAAAACGCATACACTGACTTACTCTGCTCTGACTTTAATAATGCAGCATCATCGAGGGCACCCAAGCATGTCTCAAACGTCTTCAAATGGACTACGTGGATGTTATCTTCTCACACCGTCCGGATAGATCGGGTGAGCTTATTCTCCATTCTTTTGTGGCAGAACTGTTTCCGGTCAGCAGAAATAACTGAACAAGGTCTCTTCCGCACATCGTAGTTCCCATGGAAGAAACTGTACGCGCGTTCAACTACGTCATCAACCAGGGCTGGGTGAGTAGCAATAAATTCTGTATTTATTCTCATAAACGACGAATTAATTGCGAATTGGATGATAGGCGTTCTATTGGGCAACATCAGAATGGACTGCGAGAGAGATTGAGGAAGCGTATCGTATGCCCTTCTTGATTCAATCCTAATAGTAACTGGAGAGCTGAACTATTCCGCCATCTTCTAGACGTCGCAGATAAATTGAACCTCATACCTCCAATTGCGGAACAATGTCAGCATCAGTACGTACATGTTTGCTTTCCCTACAATTTGGATACAGCTAACTTGGTGTACGATTGGTGAAGTATGTTCCACCGCAAACGTCCCGAGGGCGAATACGCGTATGTTCATTGAATATTAATTCCACGGACGATCTTTAACCTCTTACAACTCCCTGTAGTCCGATATACGCCAAGTATGGGATCGGCACGACTGTATTCTCGGCGCTCGCAGGTGGGCTACTTACAGGAAAGGTGTGCTCTCAACTCAATCCCTTCTCATTCAAAAGTAGTCATTCTAAGGTATATGAATATGAATATTACAGTACAAAGGTGGCAACATCCCCGAAGGCTCACGCTTCGACACACACAAAGATATCTTCAAAGACACAATTGACAACTGGACCAGCGAAGAAGGCCAAAAGACCTTCACAAAGATAGACCAACTAACGGAAATCGCTGAGAAAGAACTAAATTGCAAACTATCCCACCTCGCACTCGCCTGGATCGCTAAACAGCCTAATACAAGCACGGTCATCCTGGGGGCTACGCGTCCCGAGCAAGTCGTTGATAACCTTAAAGCGCTGGATGTCTTACCCAAATTGACACCTGACGTTTTGGAACGTATCGAGAAGATATTGGAGAATAAGCCTGCGCCGGAGTCGATGTATGGAAGACCGCCTTTGGATACGACGTTTAGATCCATGTATTGAGGTGCTTTGGTTGGATTGATCTGAAAGTAGGGCGATTTTGATTGGACAGATGAAACGGAGAAGAGTTTGGATATAAAATGAATGTATAAAATGTGTTGTAGTATATACATGTACGTGAGCTTGAATGAATCCCATTGTACATGTTCTGTAGCACGACCACCAGTCATACCAGAGAATCAACTATCCAAGCCAGGAACCTTGAACGTATCCCACAACCTATCAATCCCCTCACTAACCCTCCACCGTCTTCCCTCAAGCCACCTCTCAACCCTTTCCAAATCCCTCCTCACTACCTCCTTCCCATTCTCATCAATACCATTACATTCATCAAGTACACTCATATCACCTTCCCCATGTAACGAAAGTACCGCCCAACCAATAACGAGTAATCCAGGAGGTCGCTGTTCACCAGCACTCTCCAGCGCAGCGTTGATATCACGTAAAGGCGCGGAGATGACGCGTTGGTCTGGCATTGAAGCTCGTTCGATTATCGCACAGGGTACGTATGGCGGGTACGGTGTCGTTGAAGAAGAGTCTCCAGAGAGTAGAGAATTCACGAGACTTTCAAGACGCGCTACACCCATAAGCAACACAACCGTCCGAGCACGTTCATATCCCGGTACCCGTCCCTTCGCACCTCCACGTCCCACACCAGTACACACCACAAGCGAATCCGCAGCTCCTCGCTGCGTAACCGGGATATTCGCAAACAACGGTGCGGCAAGAGCGGATGATATCCCAGGTATAACGAGTACCTTCACTCCATGTTTCCTAAGGAACAAAACTTCCTCACCTACACGTCCAAATAACGCCGGGTCACCCTGTTTCAACCTAACAACCGTCCTCCCCGAACGAGCAGCAGCAAGCGCAAGGTCCATCAACTCCTGTTGCGCACCATCCGCATTACCTGGGAACTTCCTTGCGATGCGGACTTCAATGTGCTGTGGGATGAGGGAGAGGACGGCGGAGGGTACGAGTTTGTCTGCGAGGATGAGGGAGGCTTGAGATGTGAGTGCGGAGTGGGCGGCTAGTGTTAGGAGGGAAGGGTGGCCTGGTCCGGAACCGACTAGGAGGACGCAGCCTTGTTCCTGTTCTTTTTGTGGAGGTGGAGTTACGATGAGATCGTGTTGGGATGATGGAGGTGAGATAGCAAATGGACAGCCTGGGCTTGAGGAGTTTGTTGATAATAGATCACCAGCTAGTAAGCGCTCCATGTCGACATCCGTCAACCCTGCTAACTGCGCTAGGGACCAATACTCGCTAATCTGAGCAACCCACTTCATACGTCTCCTCAGGCACTCCATCTCGCTTTCATCCACTTCCAAGTTCCGTGGTGAACGTTGCTCAACAGGACGATTCGGCGAAGTCACCGTTATCTCCTCGTTCAACTCGTTCTCCGCGTCTTGCACTCCATCATTCGTCGCAGAAGTAGCACTTTGATCTTGGTCCTTAGTCTTCGCAAGCCTCCTCAGCCTCCCAACCTTCTCAACCGCACCACCCACTTCATTCGGTAGCCTCGCAACAACCTCCCTCTTCAAACGCGCTGCAAGCCTACACCCCTGTCCGTTCGTCGTAATCCCCACTTGCAAAGACGTCGCATCCCCACTCTCACCATCAACAAATCTATGCGTTGCACAGACTGTGAAGTCACATAAATCCGACATGTCCGTAACGTTCACTGGAATATTTCGTTCTCGACAGACATCGTAGAGTTGACTTGCTGAACGTCGAGAACGTCGTTCAGACGTATCGGCGTTAATAAGAGTATCGGTAATAAAGACGAGCGAGACGGATCCTTGCGATTGACTATCCAGAAACTTTTCCAATGCTAAGGCTTCTGCTAACTCAGCATCCCAACCCTCCCGTCCCTGTCCGACCATCTCATCCAAATCCAGGATCTCAAGCTCTTCTTTAGTAGACCTCCATTGTAACTCTTCACAAGCAAATTCGAAACCTCCTCTAGCTAGTATAACAACAGCAGAGTCCGCTTCAAGAGCCGCGAATGCACGAGTAGCAGCTAGTCGATTGGAGCCTATGACCACGGTAAGCTTAGGTCGGAAAGCGAGCATGAGAGATGCGCCTCGTTGAGGCGATGTGAAGCCTCTTGAGTTCATCGTTGGGTTTGATGAAGGGGAGTAGGAAGTTGATTTTGTTCATTTTTTCCTTCTCGCTGGCGACTTAGAATTTCGTGCTGAATGGAAAGGCGAAAGCGTCGCGCAATCGTTGCCAAATTCTGGTGAGTGGCACGTGATCTACTAAATGCCTTTCTCAAATACAAGTTTATTCTTACACTTGTGTGATGCCCCGACCTCATGAAAAGAAAGAAAGCACTGTCACCCGCAGAAGGAGGTGAAGCAGAGGTTTTTATTATTGGCGAAAGAACGAGGTTTATATTAATCTACATTTCTCGCCTGAGCGTCGTTACCTGTCTACCTCACTGGTAAAGGAAAAGTAAAAACATAAACGTTAGCAAAACGAAACCAAAAATATTCACGGTAAGCTTACCCGAACACCAAGTCCATCGTACCAATGATTGCAACGGCATCGGCAAGCATGTGATGACGCATGATGAAATCGGAGCCTCCGAGGTGGGCGAAGCCGGGTGCTCGGATCTTGCAGCGGTAAGGGCGGTTCGAGCCGTCACTATCGACACCAGTAAGAAAGCAAAATCATAAATATTTGAGAGGGAAGCACGTACGAAACGAGATAGACACCCATCTCTCCCTTAGGTGCCTCGATAGCAGAGTAAGTCTCGCCAGGCGGGACAGAGTACCCCTCGCTAAAGAGTTTGAAATGATGAATCAATGACTCCATACTCTCCTTCATCGAGGCTCGTGGAGGAGGGACGAGCTTGTGGTCATCGACCTTGATAGCTCCGGTTGGCATCTTATTGAGACATTGGTCGATAATCCGTAGAGACTCGCGGAACTCCTGTACACGGCACAAGTAACGGTCGTAACAATCCCCATTCTTCCCGACAGGTATGTCAAACTCGACCTCGTCGTATTTGTCGTACGGTGCAACCTTTCGCAAATCCCACTTCACACCGCTCCCACGCAACATGACACCAGAGAACGAGTAGTCCATCGCCTCTTTCGCAGTGACTGTACCAATACCAACCGTACGTTGTTTCCAAATACGATTACCAGTCACAACTTCCTCAATCTCATCGACCCGAGAGCTGAACTGAGTCGCCCATTGGAAGATATCGTTCAACAGTCCGTGAGGGAGGTCAAACGCAACTCCACCGGGACGCACGTAAGCGGCATGCAGACGCGCACCGGAGACTCGTTCATAGAATTCCATCAGTTTCTCGCGCTCTTCGAAACCCCAGAGGAAGGGAGTTAGTGCGCCGACGTCCATAGCGTGTGTGAGGACGGCCATGAGATGGTTCAGAATACGCGTTATTTCGCCGAATAGTGTACGAATCCATTTTGCACGCTCGGGGACCTCGATGTTGAGGAGTTTTTCGACCGCGAGGGAATAACATAGTTCGTTTGTCACTGTAAATTACGATGTATATTAGCAGTGTACACAGACGTGACATTAATTACTCACTCATGGAAACGTAATCCAGCCGGTCAAAGTATGGTAAAGCCTGTGTGTACGTTTTGAACTCGATGAGCTTCTCGGTTCCACGGTGAAGAAGACCAATGTGCTATTGAAACGTGTGAGTAGTTCTACATGGTAAGAGACAAGGTAGAGACGTACTGGATCTGCTCGCAAAATCTCCTCTCCGTTCAGTTCCAAAATTAATCGAAGTACACCATGTGCAGCCGGATGTTGAGGTCTACAGCGCGTTAATAACCACCTGTTAAATTATCTTCATCGAACACACCCAAAGTTCACTGCATACGACGACGAATAATCGTTAGAGATGAACACACTTTAACTAAACACAAGGATGAACACACCTGTGAAATGCCGCATCTGCGAACTCCGCTTCGAGCCACCCTCCAAAAGTACATCCTCCGGAGACATACTCTGCAAATCTTCAACAGTATGAATATCAAGCAAGCTCTTTGCACCCGACGACGGTACACCCTCAGTGTTGGCAGCCTCGGAAAGCGGTTCAGCTCGATGGCGAACAGCACTCGTACTTAGAGCGCGTTTACTCGAGCTTGCAATAGTAGAATTATTGAGGAGCGCTGCCCTAGGCGCGCTGCGCGCTAGTTGGCGTCGCAAGAGGATGGACGCCATGGTTGATCGCTGTGCGCGGCGACGGCGAGGAGAATGGCGAGAAACGGTTGTCTGCTGTAGCCAATTGCAGGACGTGTAATATCAATATCTAAAATGGAAGTTTGTTACCACGGATCGCTTTTCGGCACGTGACGACTTACGCTGTAGTCGGCTCGGCTGAAGACTACGGACTGCGCGACTAACTGCTGAGCTGCTCCGTGTCCGCCGTGCTCGACGATGAGGACCATCCTCATGAACAGCCTCAATGCAGCATCGACTGTAATCACAGCTCTAGAAAGCGGAGTTGACCAAAAACCATGCACCGCCCAAGCGTGCGGCCGTCAATACGACCTTAACCCGCTAAGCGCAAGGTGAGTGCAACGCGGTCTCCTTCTTCTAATCAACTTCCCTGCTTCTCGAGTGGAATTAATTATCAAACACGTAAATTAATTGTAACGCATACAATAGCTCGGACTATATCTTCGAATCGCACTCGGGACGAAACTTTACCCTCAACGTATGTCGGAGTGTTGTTAGTGATCCTTGGAACCCGCGTGTCGATAGTCCTCAGGATATCGGTGGATTCGTTCGTGCTGCTCATGGCGACTTCTCCATTGGGTGCGTCCCTTCTTCTCTACTTTGGAAGTATACTGAAGCGTTGATCGTATATTGCCAATAGTCAGGCAAATACGACGCTCGTCGTACAGGACATGCACCCAGTGCTGTACATGATGGGCGGTTCGAGCTGTCCGCAAGCGGAAGGCATGAAAGCGTCGACTGCAATCCAATTTATCTGTGATACCTCCGTCGATGAAGGTAAGCTACTTCACTGAACGGAATCATTTCTTTTATTTACTTTATTGTAGGTCAACCGAAACTCCTAGCTCAGCTCCCACCAGCAGACGACGACGCATGTATGTTCTTCATTGAATGGAGGACAAAAGTAGGTCATCCTTGGTTTAAATGGCTAGCAGATGTATTTATCTTGTCTCCCTTAGTACGCCTGCCCCGTACCGAACCGCTACGCATACTGGAAAACCGCACTGATGGCCATCGTCATGTAAGCCTTCCTAACCACCATCAGATATCCAATTCACCTTTACTCATCTCACTTCACTTCACGTCGTCTCCTCTCCTTTCCAATCCATCTCAACTTGTCGCGCCCATACACATACACAGCCTCCTAGCCCTCCTCCTAACCTTAATCTCCCTCCTCGCACTCCACAAACTCCTCAAACGTCGACGCGCTCAAGATCCCTTACACAACTACAACACTCCTCCCATCCCAAATATTGGCGTCGGCGGCCCACATACATGGCCTGCAGCACTCGCCGAACGCGCTCGGGACGTTAAGCGCTTATTAACAGGTCAAGATCCGTGGGGTCATCCGAATGGTACTCCAAACGGTATAAATGGGAATGGTGTAAATGGAAGAGGAGGTTCAGGAAGAAGTTGGCGCCCCACGTTTAGTTGGGGCCGTCGATCCCGCCGAAACAACAACTTCTCTCGCCTTCCGCGTAGTGCAGAAGAGGAAGCTATGATGGGTGGGAATCGAAACGGTCCATTCAGCGTTGACGACGAAGACGAAGACGATTATGAGGAAGGAGGGGAACATCGTGCTATGAATGGTAGTGCTGCAGTTAACGGAAATGGAGGTGATTTTAATGAGGAGAGCGCTGCGTGGGGTGCTGCGAGACCGCATGGGATGGATAGTGGGGGTGTTATTCGGTTATGAGCGCGTTCTTCAGTGATGGTCCAAAACCGGATTAAATTGAAAATGTGCCATTTTAATCCCACCTCTATTCTCTTCGGTCTTCTTTTCCATTACTTTCTTTCCTTATTTTTTTTCTTTTCTGCAAGATACCTAGGTGGTCAATTTGATGGTCGATAAGATTACTGTGCTTTCATTAGTTAGTTTCCCTAGTTCGTTTCCTAGCTTGGTTAATTGTTGTGTAACGTTTCAAATGGACTCTGTCTCTCCAGAGTCATTAATTTATGTTCCTTTTCTACTGCACCTCCATAAATTTTCTTTAGTCTCAGAATCGTGCTGGTCCAAGATACATGTTCAAGAACATGTATGAACAACCTTTATACGATGTCCTGCTTCAAGACGTTCTTTCCCTTCCTCCGTGATGCCTTCTGTCCCGTATTACCATTAGTCTCAACCCTAGTAGTCCTCTTCCCTCTCCTCTTCTTCACTTTCTTTGGCAGCACTTCAATCTTGGGCATCTCATCTCCACTTCCACAGTCCAGTTCTCCCTCACCAATCGCCTCAGCCACTGCATCTTTCGTTTCTTCAGCAGGTACACCATGCTCCTCCGCTTCCCTCTCTACCTCTTCTTCCAGGTTCATTTTCATGTCTTCTCCGTCCGCTTCACCTCCTTTACCAGTCTCGATGGCAGCGGCAGCAGCTTCGGCTTTGGCAGCAGCCTTCGCCCTTGCCCGTTTCGTTGACTTCCTCCCATTCGTATGTAAACTCTCCACTTCTGCCGGTGGGCGGAGCATCCGTGGATCCACTTCACGGAGGTTGTATAACCTGTATAGGTAGAATACAGCTTGTTCCTTGTCTTTACATTCTAGCATCAGATCTACATATTCTCATTAGTTAAGTATCTCTTCATTCAAAGATAGAGAGACAACGAAAGAAACACTAACCCATATCGTCCGGTAGACCCTCCGGCAACGTCTTCACCCGATCCGAATGCGCACGTCTCTCCATTACACTGACCGCACCAGGCCTTGGCTCACTATAATGCTGTTTCGGTCGAATACCCTTGTTATACCAAAGTTGGTTGATCTCGGGGATAAGTTCGCGGGGTGGACGAGAGGAGGGGTAGATCCAGTCGTGGTGGTAGTCGAAGACGAGCGGTATGTTGAGTGAGCGGCAGAGCGGGAGGAGATCGTCGACGTTGTAACAGAGCTAAGAGAAATATAGTATGAGGGCCCGGAAAATATGTAATGAGACGCTAATTTACCTCGTCATTTTCAAGTACGAGTCGCCTCTTGATACTATCCGACAGAAGCTTCGTGTAATTCTCTTTGAATCGTTCAAGGGTCGCTGCTTCATCGCCGAATGTCCCTACGACCCAATTCAGCAAAAGCACATACAAGCCAATTGAGAAAATCTTACCTCCCATATGTATGATCATAACGCTATCCTGATCAAGCCCCATCCGATCCATCATTTCGCAATGATACTCCAAATCCCTCACAGCATTCCTCACCACAACCTCTCTCGGACTTCCAAGTTGCGTGAATTGTCCCGGGTGGCTCGTCAACCTCACACCAAGTTCCTTAGCCGTCTTCCCAACAGCCTTTAAATCCTCATCGGCGAAGCTCAAGTCGTACCCGTGCTCGGGATGAGATGCAAAAGGAAACATCTCGGAGCTCATGCGCATGAAGAATATCCCGTTTTGTGCGTTCCAAGTGACGAGTTTAAGGAGGTCGCGTATGTTTTGAAGTCCAAGTGTCCGGAGGTGTTCTGGACCGTTTTCGGCGATAGTTGCGAGTCGGCAGGTTCGAGAACAGAAGATGGGTGTTGAATATTTGCGGAGCATGGTGTTTAAGCAAGCATATCCTAGACGACCTGTAGTGAAGTGAAACAATTGAACAAAGGTAAGGAATATGCTGATAAAAACATACCCTTAAAAGTCGTACTTAGAAAATTCTCAATGGGTGGAATATCAAACACCTTGTCTTCTTCCAGAGTTTTTCTCCTTCTTGATTTCTTTGTCTTTTCTACTTCTTCACCAAAGTCTTCAATGGTTGTTGTCGCTGCCTTGATTTTGCGCTTCCGTCTGTGGGTTACTGCAGCTTTTTCGTCATCATTTCCCTCATCCTCGTCCATTACTACTTCTTTAGTGGCTTTGCGTTTTCGGCGCTGTCTCTTCGGTCCTTCGGCATCACCTTCATTTATGATTTTGCCTTCTTCAACGTTAACTGTAACCTCTGCAGCGGCCTTACGCTTGCCGCGTTGGCGCTTCGGTTCAGATTCCGACTGTTCCTCCGATAGTTCAGAAAGCGGAGATTCATCCCTGAAAACAGAGTGAAGATCACTAGCAATAGCTTCGGGTACAGTTACTGTTTTCCATCTTTTGTAAACGAAAAGTTGAAGAACGCCTCTGTCTAATGAAGACCCGAGAGAAGCTAGTAGAAAGCACAGGTCTAGGTAGCAGTCGACAGAGTAAGAGGAGCATGTAACAGCCATTTTCGCTTGCCACCAACAGGTTATGAATACAGTCCGAGACAGACTTCAAATGACGACACAAGGCAAGAGCTCGTCGATCGCCGCGCTGCATCGAAACTCGATTTCAAACTCCGCGATCAGCTATATGATCGACGCCATCAAAACCATCAAAGTTGCTCTTTTCGGTCATCTGCCATCACATTGAGTTCATGGTCAACTTCACTTCCCAGTCCAACTCTCACCAACGCCGCTCTGAACCGACCACACGTCATTCTATACTATAACTTTCAATCCATGGCAGCAAATATATCTCATTTAGCCTTCGCCCTCTTCGCATCATGAATTATTTCCATTCTTTGTTGCGGGAAGAATAATCGAGAATGTTCATGGACCGCGTAGAGGTCCTCCTGACCACAACCTTTCAAACTCGAACACTCGCGAAAGCTCTCAATCCTCTGGGCTCCTCCGTCACATTCTACGTCATTTCAATTGTGTCTTACTTGGTAGCTCTCGAACGTTCGGCCAGAAAGGTATATAAGACCACTGTCTTTAACGCAAGCATCTTCAGCAAAAGTAACTCTCAACACAGCAAACTCTCAAAGCGCCTACTACTCAACTCAACCTCGCGACTAACCTCTTAACAAACTCACAATGTCCGTCTACTACTACGAGCCATTCTTCTCTTTCAACGACATCTCCCGCTTCTTCGACGACGCCCTCTCGCGCACCTCAGGAGGCCAACAAGTTGCCCGGGCCGGCGACACTAGCGAGCGCTCTCTCGCTCGGGGTTTCCAACCTAGAGTCGACATCCACGAGTCCCCCGAGAACAACCAAGTAACTGCGACGTTTGAGCTTCCTGGTCTTCAGAAAGAAAACGTCTCCATCGACGTGCAGAACGGCCGCCTCGTCGTTAGCGGTGAGCAGACGGTTTCAAAGGACGTTGAAGAGAAGGGATTCGTGCATCGCGAGCGCCAGATGGGCCGCTTCTCGCGCACTTTGCCTCTTCCTACTGGCACTAAGGTGGGTAATTCAGTATACATCCGTTTTTTTTGGACATGATGCTAACTAAAATATTCTAGCCCACTGATATCCAAGCCAAAATGGAGAACGGTCTCCTGACTGTCACGTTCCCGAAGACGAGCCAGGAGCAACAGCCCCAGAGGATTACGATTGCTTAAACTGAAACTTTCAGCTATATGCAATAGGATGTAATGTGGGTCGGCGATTGGTGGTGTAAAAAGAAGTGACAGGTTTTGTTTCATAAATGTATAAAATACAAACCCCGGCAAGCAAGATCATGTAAATCGCATTTTTTGATGTAAAATAGTACATATATGCATTCGTCATCAATTGTTAAATAGTTTGTTTCGAACTTGCGATGGTCTTGCAGAACAAAATGTGCTAGACCTTTATGAAATATTGCCCCTGCCAAGTAATCTGATAATCTATTCAGCATTTTATGATTCATTACTTTCAACCGTCCAATTTGCTTGACTCGATTAATTACCTTCCTGTTGAATTCGTGGCACTGAATGAACCAAGCTCCTTGCTATTGTTTTCGCCACAATTTCTTCACAATTATACCATGTATACCATTCAGGATTAGATAATATTAGATATGCATAGTCGCGACGTCAGGAATCAGCAAAGCAAAACATTTTCGTTCTGGACCATCAAGACAGTTCAACAGTAAATCTAAGTGCACCAAAGCGTTCATTACTTCAAGTTGACAAACACTTTGGTTGGCTAACTCTGCTCGCGGCTGTCTGGCCTGCAAACATGACGACAACCGCAAAGTTTAAACAAACTTCCGTTCACTGGAGGGTCGTGCTGACCACAAGCTTTCAACTCGAAGGCTCGCGAAACTGCTTAGTTCTATACCTCTATTAGAAGACTCTTCTTTCTTCGTCACCTTCTGCATCACTCATCAATTGTGTCTTCCTTGATATCTCTCGAATTTTTGGCCAGAAAGGTATATAAGACCGATGTCTTCGGTGCTAACATTCTCAGAAAAGAAAAATACTCAAGCGTATTCAACTCAACTTGCAATCTCTGCTAGTACTAAAATCCTCACCATGTCTCTCTCTTATTACAACCCTTTCTTTTCTTTCAGCAATATCTCTCACTTCTTCGACGATTTCTTCTTGCGCACTGATCAGCAAGGCTGGCACACTAACGAGAAATCCATGAGTCAGCACTGGGTACAGGGTACATGCAATGGACCTTGCCTTGACGGACGACAAGGCGATCTTGATGCTCGAGCTTCCTGGTCTTGACAAAGAAAGCATTTCCCTCGACGTGCTGAATGGTAGGCTTGTCGTCAGCGGTGAGAAGACGATTCTGAAGGACGTCGAAGAGAAGGGATTCGTGCATCGCGAACGTCAAATGAGTCGCTTTTCGCATATTGTTCTGCTTCCTACTGGAATTAAGGTGAGTAGTCCGAAACACATTGATGCATTTTGAACGGGATATTAAATGGGACGCTTAAGACCGCCAATGTCCAAGCCAAGATGGACTCGGAGAATGGCCTCTTGACTGTTACGTTCCTGAAGAGAAGCCAGGAACAACAAGCCCAGAGGATCACGATTGCATAAATCAAGCCCAAGCTCTACCCATGTTTATCTATGCTGCACTTCGAGTTAACAATTGTAGATGTAAGAACAAAGAGAGTCTTAGCTTATAAACAGAACAAAAATTCGAGTTCCAGCAAATCATTTAATCATGTAATGTGTAATACTATGAATTAGAATTGATGTCCCAGCTAATCAGAAAGCTCATAATAGATCCAAAGCCATGAAAATAATGTGGTTCAATAGTTGCGTCTTCTACGACAATTGACTTTCCCTTAGGCGAGTGCCCTGTTACAACACATCGGATTGGAGGACAACCTGAGCTGGGTGCTGAAGACATTCTGCCTGTGAGATTTGTACTTTGAAAGTAGGTACAAGGCAAGTTTGTATTTCTCACAAGCACAACTGTGGAATCTCTAGCTATCACAGTCTTCTCCGGATGTATGTACATGCTTGATAATCTAGTAGATCTGTGTAAGGCCTGAATTGGGGATTCATTCACATTGTTTCAATCCTTGCTGTGTCAACGAATGAGTTGGGGAGTGCTAAGAACACATGGCTGCATACCCCAAGTGAATCGAATGCAACCAAGACGAAAAACAAATATACTGACATCACCTAGACTGCTTCACTTACAGTAATATGTGGCTGTAGAACATACCATCATTCGTGTTCTGGTACTTGCAAAATGACTTGCCAGTGGGAAATGTGGCGAGCGAAAGACATCTTTGCTATGTTAGAGAATCAATGTCTGTGAGTGCGTGGGATTATATATTCCATTATGGATATATTTATTGATGTGTTGTGAAAAGACGCAAACTTGTTTGCAGGGTAACAATATAAAGCAAACAAGATGGAGTTGTCAGTGTTTCTGAATAACCAATCTCGAGTACAAACCCCATCCAGGTACAGAGAGGCTCACCAATGGCCTCCAGTGAGAAGAAAACAAGAAAGGATAACTTTCATAGGACTAAAGTTGATAGGCCAGCCTCCCTCTGCGGCCCAGGTGTGATCCCGCAGGATACTACCAATTTGGCAAGGTCATCAGACCATAGTACCCCTCCGGCAAGTAAAGTGGAAAAAAAGTCCACACCATCAGCCAATCCGGATATACCTGCAGCAAAAACAGAAGCAAAATCTGATAGCAAATTCGGCCGTGCAACTTTCTTCAGTGAGATTGCAGAGGCAAATTTCAAGAGGAAGTACAAAATAAAAGATAGTGATGTGCATATCCCAGAAATAGCTTGCTACGTCTGTGAAGAAGAGAAGAATGACCGAACCCTTATGTTCAGTCGTGGAAAGACATGGTTTTCAAAAGACGATATGGAAAACAAGAAAATCGTGACATATACTGCGAAGCCTGGAAATAATATAATACTAATAAGTAGAAAGAATAAGAATTATAAGCGTCCTACTCCCCCACGTGGCGAAGACGGGTGGAAAGTCAGTATTGTATGTTTTATTTTGTATCTTCTTAGAAGGATGCCAGGAATAACACATTAATTCCAGACATTCAATATGGATGAGTTTGACCTTGTAGAAGTGTACCAGTATGATATGCGGCTTCTCACTAAAGGAGGGGACTATATAAATCATCTTAAGGATGAGGATTACTGTGTAAGGAACGGAAGGATCATTAGATAACCTATAAAAGTTATGATTGACTGACTGTATGATTGGGAATGACTATAATAATGGTATTTTGAGTCACTTGCAGCAAATACAAGGTTTTATGCAAACCTTATGTTGTATTGACTATTAGAATAATTGAATTAATTAATTAAATTAGTAAATAGACAATACTGTTCCAGGCTATATGGTAATTTAGTAAAATAGTACTCTAAATTATGTGTGTCAAGCTTAAAAATCAAAGGTCTTCAGACCTATAGAGTAATAGTAGTGTTTAATATAAGTAAAGAGTAATAACAAATATACTGCTACACTACTGACAAAATCATAAGAATGAAAAGGTAGGTTTTATTGATTAGCAATCTTTACTATTCTTACAGTTCTTCAATCATGAATACTATTTTTGTTTTGTCTAGAGATTTTCAGTATTGTTAATAAGTAGCCTGATATACAAATATGTCACTACTTACTGGTATTATAACTATATGTGTATATTAATGAGAAGTGTATTGGAATTGTGAATATGAAGTATTGTGCTTTCAGTGTCACAGGTCAATCTGATCAGAAGCACATGTACAGAGGTCTAATACAAAATATAGTAATAAATACAGAGAAGTATTAGATAATATATAATATAATAGTTGGATGCATTGTATCTGCTCACACTGTTTTTGATTATGCTTCGTCAATAGGGTACCAGTATCGGTTTGGTTCACTTTGTTCTGAAGACTATGTATTGCACCTGTTGAATGACTCTAGATGGATACTAATATGAAACAAAAAGGTCAGAAATTTTATACAGAGAATCTGAGATATTGCCAAACCTGTCTTACAGATACAAAGCATGACAGATAAACCAGAGTTACTTAACGTTCTAATCCCAGTGAACTAGTTTGACGGTAGGGACAAAGTGGTAAAGAAGGAGTAATTGCATTGTGCAGGGTGTGAGAATAGATTAGCACATTTAGACTTTGCAATACTTAGTGCAAACTTGACAAGACAGAAAGCATATAGCAAGCTAGATGGAACTTTGAGTACTCTTGAACCTTTATACTTGAGTCTGTACTATCAGTTAGATCTCTCAAAACCTTATTGACACATAGACAGCTTAATAATGGCGTCCCACGATGGAAAGGATTCAAAGAGCAGCCGCACATCTTTTTATGCTATTAGTCATAACAGTATGCGGGAAAAAGTTGAAAGACCTGCCTACTTGAACTGTCTAATCCCCCCGAGGAGCCCATCATCAACTAACGATGGTACATCCACTGCAAGTAAAGAGGGGAAACAAACAACAACATCGGCTAACAAGAGTACATCTTCAGCAAGTGGCGCAAAAAAGCCCCCTGCACCATCGGTTGAGGAAGAGGTTGAGGGAAAAACACCTACAGCAACAAACGAGGCAACCCGTGATGACACATTTGGTTCAGCAGCTGGTTTTGATAAGAAGGCAGAGGACCGATTTAAGAGAATATTTAAAAAGGTAGAAGTAGATCACCCGATTTCTGGAATACTCAAGTACGTCTCTGAACAAGGCAAGAATGACCGAACACTTATAGTAGGCCGAGGAAAAGATTGGTTTTCAACTGAGGATATGAACAGTGGAAAGATCATAACGTACACTGCAAAACCGCAAAACGTACTGGCACTGCTGGGAAAGAAAATGGTTGGCTATAAGCGTCCATGCATCCCACGTAAGGACAATGAAGCATGGAAAGTCAGCATTGTAAGTCAAATTCTGCATCATTAGAAGGACACTGGATAATTCCGTAACGCTAGACCTTTGATAAGGATGATTACGACCTTGTCGAATTGCACGGCTTCGATAGAAGGGTTATTACATATGGTCAGGGTTTTATAGAACATCTCAAAGACACGGACTATGTTGTTAAAGACGGCAAAGTCATTGATAAAAACGCAAAGTGATGTGATTGACCGATTGTACCAACTAGTATTGCTGTGATAATGTCCTAAATGGCTTGTATCGAAAGGCTAGACGAATAATGCAAGGTTTATGCTGTTTACTGGAACTTCAGAGGCCTGCTCGACACGTAATACCTTGATAATAATATATCATTCTTTGCACGAGGGTCGTGAGCAAGTGCTCGTCAAGATGCGGGATGGAAAAGAGCACCTGGTTATGAGTGTAATGAGCGAAGATTTTTTGTTCACGTCTAATCCACCATTTGCTCAATCAGCATTGCTGAATGCAGACAGTTTGGGTGTTGAGTAAATGTATGTTGCAATAGTAAATTTAGGGTTTGGATCGAATTGCCTTCATCGAGAGGGTAAGATAGAGTTTATGCTTGCTTAGAAGTACGTAGTGGAAAGAAGGAAAGTGTTCGATGGCATAATGAGCACGTCGCGGCTCCTCACGGTACTTTTGGTTTATGCTTCGTTCCACCACCACCACGGCCCGCGTCCTTCCCAGACTTTCAGCTGTCCTTTGTCATCTCTCACCTTCACGCTACACACCTCGTAACTCACCATCTTTTCCTCGACCGTTTTCATCAGGAGCAAGTGTAGAAATATTAAGAAAAGATAAAGAAAGGATGTCGTTCCCTGAGAAGATCAAAGCAATTCAAGTACCTAAGCATGGAGATGTCGACGTTATCGAGCTTGCGGAAGTACCGTTCCCAAAGCAACAGCCTGGTGAAGTGCTCATTAAAGTGAGTCACAAACTCTCTTACAGCCTTATCGAGTGTTAATTCAACTTTATATGCGCATATACTCACCTTTTATTCTCTTATTTATATTATTAATATAATATTGTAGGTAGCTTATGCAGGAGTGAACTTCATCGACACGTACATGCGTAAAGGGCTCTACCCGGCCAAGTCGTTCCCATTCGGTATAGGTCAAGAAGCTTCAGGGACAGTAGTTGCACTCCCCACAGACCAGTCCGTCCTCGCTGACGAGGAATTCAAGAAACGCGGATTGACAGGGAGCGCAAAGGTCATAGCCGTACGTTCTTTCCACTTTTTACTTTCTTACTAGTTTGACTTTACTGACCATCGTTCATACCAATCTAATAATGATGTTCAATATTTATCGGTTTATGACTCATGCACACTCTGATTCTTAAACGTCAGAGATATACGGGTTCCTTCGCAGAATACATCTCCGTCCCCTGGAAAGACGTCTACTCCCTCCCACCTTCCATCCCCCTACGCACAGGAGCAGCACTAATCATCCAAGGTCTCACAGCTCTAACCTTCATGACCGAGGCCCACCCAATCCAAAAAGGCGAAACCATACTCATTCACACAATCGCAGGCGGTCTCGGCTTGTTTTTCTTGCAAATTGCTAAAGCGAGAGGAGCGACTGTGATTGGTACGACGAGTTCAAAAGAGAAAGCAGAGTTGGCGAAGAAATATGGAGCGGATCACGTTATTCTTTATACGGAGGAGGATACGGTGAAGAGGGTACTTGAGATTACGGGTGGGGAAGGGGTGAATGCTGTTTTTGATGGTGTTGGGAAGGATACGTGAGTTTTCTTTCCTTTCTTCTTCCTTCTATCTTCCTTTTTGTGAGTGTCAAAGAGAGAGGATACTGATGCGTACTGTACGAAGATTTGACGCCAACTTCGAACTACTCCGCCGAAAAGGAAGCCTCGTCTCAGTAGGCAACGCCTCAGGCCCCGTCCCTCCCTTCCCACCACTCAAACTCACAGGAAAGAACATCAAACTCACTCGGCCCACGTAAGTCCTACGATTTATGTCCCATCTCTCTCCGCCCTCACTTTCCTCACTTTTCTCTATCGAGTGTTGATGTAACTAACTATTGTCTGGTAGGTTGATGAACTACATAGTAACACCCTCCGAAATCTCCTCCTACATCCAAGAACTCTACAAACTCATCGAATCCAGTTCGATCAAAGTAAACATATTCAAAGAATACCCGTTCACTGCTGAGGGCGTCCGACAATCGCAAGTTGATATTACCGGGAGGTCGACTATTGGGAAGTTGTTGATTAAAGTTTCTGATGAGTGAACTCAGGCTTGATTTTTGAGGAGTTTGGATTGGATTGGATTGGATTGGATTGGGTTGATTTGGCTTGAGGAGTTGCGAAGCGCTGGAGAGGAGGGATCGTTGGAGTGGAGTACATATGAAGGATGAAGAATGAAGGGTGAATTGGGTTGAATTAATAATGAGATATTGAATCCGGGTAATGTAAAGTATATACAAAGAATATGAAAAGCTTTCGTACAAGCAATTAAGGTCAACATATTCACAGAACACTGGTTCACTGCTGAGGTGGCCCGACAATCACAAGTCAATATCACGTCACGGGGAGGCCGACTGTTGGGAAGTCATTGATTAAAGTTGCTGATCAGTGAACTTGACCTTGGCAAACTTTATAGAGTAGGCCTCGGTTTTATGAAGTGCTTTGAGGCTTGTAAGGCTTGGAGAGGTGAAGAAGACTGGAAAGTGATGAAGCAGGGTATACCCGATTCAACAAAAGGCAAAGAATGAAAATGGAATTGGATTGAATTATCGACAAGATACCGAATCCAACAGTGTAAAGTAAAAAAAAATACACGTAAACAGAATATAACACTTTCAACAGAAGACGAAGCATCCGCCAAGGCATTTTTTCTGGGGGAGGTGGGCCGAACAGAATGTCGAACGAAAAGAAAAGACAAATAAAGGGGAAGTGAGTCAAGAAAAAAGCAATCCAACACGCATAGGATGGATTATATGCATGAAGACTCAGAAGGGTGTGAGAGGGGTTTACGACCCATTATTCCGAGCATTCGCTCGTCCACCAGCCGGAGCCCTTTTCTTACGTGGGTTCCGCGGGTTCTTGCGAAGCGCAGCACATTCATCGCAGTACCACAAGCCCTTCGGAGCTTCTTTCAGGCCTACGCAACTCAAATGGAACTACAAAAACGCGTTAGAAAAAAGGGATAAATAAATCAGCAAACGAAGAGTTCGTCTAAATGGAGGAGAACAAGAAAGGAAAACGCACCCATTCCCGCTTACAACCCGGCTGATCACACCCAATCATCTCCCCGAAACTCATATTATCACAGAAACAATATATCCTCCCATCGTCAGCTTCGCCATCACCGTCTCCGCCTGCGTCGCCTGCTGTGGTACCTTCTGCGACGGAAGAAGCGGCGGTTGCTACTGCTCCTGCTCCGGCGTCGTTGCCCCCAGGTGCGGGTGAGCCTCCGACTCCTCCATCTATGGCGGACGCGAGGTTGGTTGTGAGGTTGGTCGTTAGTGAGGAGTGCGTGGAGGTGCGGGGTGCTTTGTTGTTATTGTTGGTGTTGGTGTTGGTGTTACTGTTGTTGTTGGAGGTGGTGTTGTTGGTGGAAGCGCTGGGTACTTGGAGGTCGCGCGGTGTTTCGGGAGGCCAGTAGTCTTTGCCTCGTTTTTCTTTAGTTAGTTAGTTAATCAGTAAAGAAAGTCTGTTTTTCTAGAAAAGGTGAATAGCATACCATTGTCAAATGCCTCTACCAAAGAAGGATGAGATGTTGACGAAGACGGTGCGAGTTGCTGGTTGTCCTTCCTAGACATGACCGACTCGAGTAGTGAACCTTCCGCATGAGCAGAACCATTCTGCGGATTCGCACGACGTTTGTTGGAGTTGCTGTTATTGTGTGCACCTCGGTGTGTTGTGCCACCCGCTGAACGATGGTTTGTGCCGTTGCTGTTTGCATTGTTGGTATTCGCCGCGTGAGCCGGTGGATGAGAAGCGATGGAGTGAAGGGAATCTGGAGGAGATGGGTGTCTCTCAACCCTACAAAGACAACATTCAATAGCCAGCACAACAAAACTAAACAGAGATAGAACTCACTTCTTTGTCCTAGGCCCACCGCGAGGACGCGTATGTCCAGTCTCCCCATTCTTCTCCTTCCTCGGGGTCTTAGCTGCAGTCCCATAATCAAGGTCCTCATCCTGTACAACCCTCCTCTTCTTCTGCGGGCTACTCTCAGTCGCACCCATCCACGCCCCAGCACCAATCGGCGCCCTTCGTCTCCGACCCGTCTCGAATGAATGAGGCGGCATGTACGCGCGCGCCGAGACGTGCGGGTATCGCGTCTTCGGTACAAGCATCGCAGGTTCGAACTCCGGGAGGTGTGTAACGAGTGAATGCAAATGCCCTGTCTGAATATGCAAGCTATCCGCTGCCTGTGTAGCGATACGAATCTTGTCATCCGCACCCGGGCGAATCTTACTCGCCTCTTCAGCAATCTCGCCGAGTAACCAGAGACGCTGCTCGTTTGAGGCTGAACGGTCCTGGATCATTTCGATGAGTTTGTAGATTTTGGTAGTGACGGAGGCGACTGTGGAGGTAAGGACTGCGTCGAGCTCGCGTAGGTCTGCGAAGATACGCGAGAGGTCGAGTGGCATTGAGTCGAGTGTGTGGGCGTATTCGTGGAGGAGCTCGATGGAGTAGCCTGTTGTTGGTCGGATGATGGTTTTGGGCATCGTTGTTGTTGTCGGGCGGAGGGGCGGTGCCATCGTCGTCGTCTTTGTTGGCGAGCAGGGCAAAGTGGTCGTTTGTGCAGAGCAAGCACTCAAGCAGAAAGACGCTTTCTTCGACAACGGGAGTGGGCGGTCCGGTGTAGCCACAGATAGTCTAAATCAGGAAGTTAGCTGCTTGTGCATGTTTGCTTCGGGCTTTGATTAATTAAAAGTCACATGTGATAAGGAGAGGTTAACCGTAAGCGTCAAAAATGCGTTAGATTATGCATTTCTACTGCACTGACGGACATAATAATGAAATGCAATATGAGCAACCATTTCACATATTAGTTGCGTTTACCAAAGGAACAAAGTGTCCTATGTTGAAGCTACACGGATGAATTACTGCAAGGGTTGCTTGGGATGGTGATTTATGCAGCAAGTGTCTGCCGCCGATCAACGGCAAGGCGCTGTCGATGACCGCGTCTATTTTATACAGCGCTTTCGCATGCACGCAGAATAGCCGCCGCTCATGTCTGAAATCTGAACGATATATTTCGATCGAGCTTGATTAAATGACGGCGCTGCGGTGCCAGCTCACAGGTTGATGGAGTGGCGAAACACCTCTCACGGAGCCGTACAATTTACTGGGAGGAGAGATGGGATGGGATGGGATGGCAAAGATGCGGTTGGCTCGGCTGGCCGGGTATCCGATCGAGGCTATTCATGGAGACGAAGCGAAGCACTCAACCAGCTTATTTCTTTCCGCGGGTGGGAACTCTCGGTCCTCTCGGTATAAGACTAGGACTCGTTACTCGCCCTCAAGTGCGAGCGATGTTCATTAGTGCGCATGCGTGCTAGCGTACCATAGTTCTGACTGCGTGCGATGCGTGAATAGTAAATACAAATTGTCTGACTGCGGGACAAGAGGGTTCCCACGGATGATCATGACAGAAACACGATCATTCGCATAACAAGCCGTGGCACTGTCTGTATCATGGCCTCGTCTTAGCTTATACTCTCTGTCTCTTCGTTCGTTACCTCCACCTTACCCTCACTCCTCTAACTTTGCTTTTCTCTCTCTTTCCCTTTGCATTTCTTTCCTTCCTTTACTTTGCGCTTTGAGTCTTGATGGAGACCCCTGCACTCGTGCTCGTCCCTTCATCACCCCTCGACCGTTCCTCCTCCTCCCCGGCTCTCTCCTCAAAGAACAACTCTCCCGTCTCCTCCTACACCTCCTCGCACACCACACCACCCTCGTCGTATGGCATCTCCGTCTCGGAAGGAGGAGAAGAAGACCCACAACAGCGCAACTCATCGGAATCAACTATATTCTCGATATACTCAATGTACAGCGAACGTCGTCACACTTGGCGCAAATCTGCGCTTGCAAACAGCACGTTACCTGGGGTCAGTCCAGTTAATAATTTGAATAGTGCAAAGTCGTCGGGGTTGCCGAGAGAGGGGTCGAGGGAAAGTACGAGCGGTACGGGTGATGCGGTGAGCGAGTCTATTACCGATTCGTTCTATCAGGGCGCACGCAATGTCAGTCAGCATTCGAGCAGCGGGAGTGGGTTCTTCGCCGGCTCAGCGGAAAGCTCGAGTCGACATCACAGCTACAACTACACTAGCAGTCCCTCACACAGTCGTCCGCAAAGTCGACCTACGAGCAGACGCGTCGGGAGCTTGATGGATGTTCACGTTGTTGCGACTAGTTCGGTCGAGGAACCGACGGAGCTACCGTATGCGAATGGAGACGCCCATCATCATCAGAGTAATTATGACATGTCAGGAATATTATTGGCGACCGACACCGGCGCAAGTTCGATTGCGGCTGACACGCATGGTTTGCCTGCTAAACGCCCGCGATCGAATGTTGTTGGCCCTGCTAATGCTCAGAACGGTGCTTCGTGGGGAAACTTTTTGGATTTGACGCGCATGGATGACGGTCAGCCCGACCTCGGCATGCATAGTCCCAGTCCCGCCTCGGGCAGGCTGCTCGACTCTTCTTTGTCGCCGGGGTCGGCAACAATGGTAGGCGAAGAACCGAGGGAGAAGCCGCCGAGACCCGCCCGCCCCAGTCTGCCTCCCAAGCAATCCCAACAACAGGCTCACGGCAAGTCCGAAAGCGCAAGCACAACGAGCCATTTTGGCCTGGGTCTTTCGCCTAGTGGGTCTATCTCTGGACTAGACGCCATGAGTACGACACACGAAGGGTACGTGACTGCTCCAGAGCAGGGCATAGAGTCTTCCAACAGCGACTCGTACACGACGCCCGTACAACGATTCCGAGTGGTTAACGGAACGTCCCCCTCACCCAGTCCGTCCGCTCCTCCTCTTGGGCATCACACTTCTCTGCCTCCGAGAGTTTCGATTACGCAAAAGGGTCTACCTTTACCCCCGAGTCCGAGGCCTCCCAGTAGGAGCAGCAGTCCTGCAATCCCACATGTGAAGCGACAATCCATCGTGTTGTCTTCCTCTACACCCCTACAACCAACATCCCCGCCCCCACCAGACCGACGAACCTCATCCATAGCCTCTTCCTCACGAGGCTCCCGCGTTCCCCAAGCAGGAGAAGAACCCGAATCCTTCTTCGTCCGCAACACATACGCACAATTAGACGTGACCGGCGTGAAGGGTGATGGATATGAAGAAGGCGTTGAGAGGACACGTGCGAAGTTGGGACATGATCGACGGAGTGTGCAGTTGGCTGCTGTTAGGAATGATGCGCGGGGAGAGAACTTTAGGGGAGAGATTTCGGAGGAGGAGTTAGAGATATTGAGTAGTGTTGATCGGTGAGTGCTGCTTAAGCCCTACTATATGCTAAGAGATTTATTTGTGTTTTATTAGATATGGATTCTTGGTTTCTCCTGGTAGTGAACGCAACGTTCTTCTTCCCTCATCCGCATTCTCAAAACCACTCCATCCCATAACAAACGCGACTACTTCAGGTGTACCTTCACCCTCTTCAACGTCAATGATCGAACCGAAACCTCCACCACTCTCAAAACACCTCGAGAGTAAACGGATATCGAAGTGGGGGAGGATGTTAGAACCTGAGAGGCGTGATGAAGGAGGGAACGTATCCATCTGGCGTATCAAACCTAATAAAGAACGGAAACTCCGTTCGCGTGTCTTCAAGGGTGTTCCAGACGCTTGGAGAGGTGCAGTTTGGGAGGTACTAGTTGCGAGGTGGGTTGGTAAATCTAAGGAGCAAGAGCAAGGAGGTTTGGATGCGAGACGGTTAATGAGTATGTTGGACGAGTTGAGGGATGCGTATCGGACGAGCTTGGAGATGCCGAGTGGGTATGATGTTCAGATTGATTTGGATGTGCCGAGGACGATTAATGGGCATGTGTTGTTTAAGACGCGGTATGGTCAGGGGTACGTTTCTTCTCTCTTTCCACTATTTTTACTGAGATATATTAATTGCGTTTGATTAGACAACGCTCCCTCTTCCACACCCTCCACTCCTTCTCCCTCCACTGCAAAGAATGTGGGTACTGTCAGGGTATGGGCCCACTCGCAGCGACGCTTCTATGTTATTACGAGCCGGAGAAGGTGTACGCCCTTCTCGTGCATTTTCATGATGAGTATGAGATGCATGATATTTTTTTACCTGGGTTCCCTGGTCTTCTGGAAGCGATTTATGTACAGGAGAGGATCATGGAGAGGGTTGTGCCTGGGGTGTATGCTGCTTTCGTGAGTAAAAAAACATCCCAACTAATACAATCCTTCGCATCGCTCTAAATTGTTGATTCGTTGGTCGACGCGATTTGTAGAAGAAACATATGATCTCGACAACGAGCTACGCGACGAAGTGGTATATCACACTATTTGCGAATACTGTACCGTTTCAGACGCAACTCCGACTTTGGGATGCGTTTTTGTTGGAGGGGAGGGATGTGTTTGTGGTTATGGCTGTTGCTATTGTTTGGGTTCTCAAAGGTGCGTTTCTTCATTCGCACATCACGCGCATATACATGACTTAGCGCTTGTTCTCCTTTCTTTACGAATGAATACGACCTAATAGACCACATAACCTCATCCCAAGCAAACTTCGAGACGATCCTATCTCTACTTTCGTCATTCTTTGTACCGGAAGATGAGGATGCGTTGTTAAAGTGGGTGGAGAAGGCGATGGGTGATCGGAAGTTAAGGGGAGATATGGCTGGGTGGAGGGAGGAGTGGAGAGGGCTTGTTAGAGAGAAGAAGGAGGGTGGGGTGTTGTTATAATGTTAGGATGAGAAGATTGGGTTGATTGGTTGATTGGTTGATTGGTTGATTGGGTTGCGGGAAGGAAGAGGGTTGTTAGGAGGAGCTTACTTCGACTGCTTCTGGTTCGTTTTGATCGGTCGGTTAGTCGGGAATTTCGGGCTTCCCGTTGAGCTTGCTTCGTTTTTTTTCGGTTTGTTTCGTTTCGTTTCGTCAAGTTTTCGTTTTTTTTTTTTCGCTGTCTATTGCTTGGGCATCTTTGGTTTGATTTCGTTGCTTCGCTTACTGAATCTCCTCTGTCCCTCTTTTCTCTCTTGATCGCTCTTTTTTGCTTTGGCATTGCATTGCATGACAAACCAACAAACCGACAACAAGACAATTGTCTGTGAATAATAGTAGCATCAGTAGCATCACTTTCTTTGCATAGTCATTTCTTTGTTTTCGTCATCGTTTTCTCTGTTGTCTTTGCATTCTATAGTATATAACAACAACCACAACCACAATAACAATAACAATAACATTTAACCAAACCTTTCCAATTTTTTTTAGACAAAATCTTTATATTTTGCCAGAAATTCTAGTCACTCTAAGAGATGTACCAAAAAAATACTGTTTTAAAAACTTTGGATATCCTTGGATTTGTCCTCTTGTTTAACAAGTTTGATACTCTGTGTGGATAATATATGTTTTTGCTTGCTTTTTTTGTATTTAATGTTGAAAAGATTAATGTGATATTCTATTTTATTCTATTCTTAAAGGGCTATCATTACTCTACAGAGTACTTGTACAAGGATGATAAGAAGATGTAGTTTACTTTCCTTTGTACTTGAAATTGAAAAGATTGAGTCATTCAAGCAGTCATCCAAATTTGTAAGTAAACAACTTATCATCTACAGTGTGAGTCAATTTCAGATTCCATTCCTCTCTATACCTCCTTGAGGACTGGTGATAATGTGAAGAAACGACGCGAGAGGAAAACAATAAACGGATGGACCCAATTGAAGTAGTTTAAGTTTAATTTGTCCGTGAATTTCTGAATTAGGTGAATGTGCTGACCTTTTATGGTGAGCATTGAAAATCCTTTTGATTATGAGATGTCCGGATTTGGTATGTGTTGTTTCGTGAGAGATCTAATCATCATCAGAGAGGAGATTCTTTGCTCCCGCCTACACAAACCGATGGATAGCTACCTACGATCTCGCTTAGACAAGAAACAAGAGATGTCTTGTAAACAAGGAGAAGCTTACTTTGGCTTGTGGCCCCCTCCTTGCTTGGGAGTGGGTATATAAATTGAACCTGGGAGGGCGGATGTGGGATTAACTCAAACCTGTACCCTTCAGACTTCATCTACGAACAGCTTGGCCCTACGCCTGAGGATTCGACGACTGGAATAAAGACGGAGTTGACGAGTCACTCACATCCTGACGCTTTTCTCACTCTCACGCTCCCGCACTCTACTCGTGCTACTTTTTCTTGGGCTTTTGACTCTGACTCACTGGTGCTGTGTTACGGTTGCGGATCAGCAAACCCCCTATCAAATTGACCTACCGCTACGTTATCAGAGCGTGTCGAATACGTATATTCGTTTCGAGGATCCCTTGAATTTCGCTCGTTTTCGCACGCGTGTTTACGTTCCTTACGCGTTCACTGCCTATAAATTGTCTCGGCGTCGCCGTCTTCCCGTTTGCATACGCCTTCACTACATACTAGTACCCATCCCTTAGAACTCTCTACGCGCATACGTTAGCATGTCATACCCAAGACAATCAACCTCTGCACATGCATCAGCACGAACGACGTCTCTATCCTTCCTTGCTGCGCCATCTCCGACGAACCCGCTTTCATTTGCGGCGATGCAGCAGCAGAACCCGCGTGATACGTTTAATATGTACGCTGACTTTAGGATGTATGCGTCTGGTGGACCGGGTCGGAGGTCCTCGGCTTCGGCTTCGGCTGCTTCGCGTGGGTCGATGGGTGCTGTGAAGAAGGTGTTTTGGAAGTGATTAGGGATCGGGGGTATGCTTTACGCCCTGGAGGTCGATACAAAGCTTTCGCTACCTTGTGCTTCTCGCGAAGGGCCCAACGACGGGACTGTTACTCGCAAGGGATCAGCCATAGAAAACATACACACCCATCATATCCTACCTCATCATGATCATCTCATCCAACATATTCGTTTCTTCAATATCTATCACGCAATCTTCTTTTATACTTCTTGCAACAAGGCGCTCGGCCGTCTTCGTCCTTCTCGGTTTTACATGTCTTTCTCTTCCTTCCCTGCATAATCTAATTCCCATTTTTGTTTTTCTCTCCCTACTCCAAATGTTTCGCTTTCAGAATGTGTTGATATCAATGTTCTTTTCCTTTCTCACTGCACTCCACTCACAATGTAGCATATCTATATACCTGGGTTGTTTGATGTAGAACGCACACGTATTTGTACTTGCACTGCTCTGTTGTATTGTCTTCGCAATCATCTTCCTTTTATATATTCATAGTCATCCGGGGAGACATCAGAATAACGTTTCGAGCGTGTGGAAAGTACAGACTTTTGCAGACAGATCACGTTGGTAAGCAGTATAATCAACGCTGGAATTCAAAATTAGAAAGATTATACATAACGTTTAATTGCTAAAGCAGAAGATTGTATAGTGTCAACGAAAAAGGACAAATGCTGAATTTAATCGTCTGGTGCTGCCTTTGAGAACCTGAGGAAGAAATGAAATAATCGAGAGACTGGATTCATTCTAACCAAGGGTTTTGAAAGAAATGTAGGCGTTCCACGCATCACGATGGTCGACCTCCTCCCTTATAAGCGAGCCATCATGAGCACACAGCCGTACGACGATTACGACGTACAGCGATACCTCCAGCTCATCTACAAAGGAGTCCCAAAAATCGGTCAAGCATCATCCACGCGCAAAACGCCATACGTCGCGTTAATAAACGTAGTTCATCTATCTTGAGGACGGGAACGCGGACGAGGAGACGGGAGAGCTCAAACCAGGCCCGAACTTTTGTGTCCTCGTGGTTGTTCAAAGAAGAAAACAAACGGTAAGAAAAATGAGGTATATGTAAAAGGAGATGACTAAGTTATTCCCACGAATACAATTGAATTGACAATCTTGTACAAACAAGACTCGCGGTAACGGCTTTGCGTTCTTGACAGTGACACGCTAGGAGGCACGCGTTGTTGTCTGTGAGCTGCGCAGGAGAAGATAACAAGACGTTTATATTGCATACATGTAGGCCATCTTTCTGATAAGAATTATGTTCGTGCGTTAAAAATGAGTGACGTCGTTCTGCTGAATAGGGACGACGACGAAGATTCGTTCTTGTATGGTGATGCTGTCCCAGCTGCGCCTCCAGTACAGAAACAACCGGAAAATGGTGAGACCAACGCTTAGATTTATTTTCTTATTTACTCATTCTCTGTGCAGTTGTAGAAGTGATTCCGTGAGTTTTGCACCGTGCTGAGCGATTCCGGGGCGTGACCTCTTTCTGCACAGCGTTCCCGCTGAATCTGTTGAAAACCAGACGAATGGTGTCGTTGCTCACCTTGAAGCTGAAGCTGAAGCCACCGCAACAGCTGATGATGATAACGAAGAGATAAAGGTGGACCAAGACAATGGTGACGTAGCTGAAGAACAAACTGAGGAAGCTGGAGAGGAGGATGGGGAGGAGGAAGAAGAGACCGAAGAAGAGAGTGATGAGGTGTGTACCTTTCTTTATAATTTGCTCAAGACACGAAACTTAGAGCTTTGGACAGGATGATATTGAATTCATCTTAGAACCTCCGACACGGTCACTGGACTTTCGGTAGGTACACGACTTGGTAGATAATTACATTTTCTCTGAACAACACGTAGGAGTCAAAGAGGTGGACATCGACCTACTCAGCCCCGCACGCCTAGTGCTGCTGTTGCAAGTACTCCGGCACAAAGTACGTTTACTACGACGTAAAATCATTTACATTTACTCACTTCTTTTATCTGCAGCCACAAACTTGACGACCGAATACACCCCACGTGAACGTGGAGCACCTCCTTCAGAGCCTTTAAAGCCCCTATCGGTGCAAACTGGAACACCACAGTTACCGCCTTCAACACCTGCTGTGAATTTACCTGACACTGCTGTTACACAACCGACTGTTCCACCGACTGACGATGGCCCCGATCCCTCCACACTCCCTCCCGTTCGAGCTCCGCCATCACACCCTCAAATCGATCCCAATGTTCCAGGAAACTACGAGGGTCGTTCTATCTTTGAGATAGACATGACCAACCTCGCCGAAAAACCGTGGCGTCGACCAGGCTCCGACCTGGGTGATTGGTTCAACTACGGCTTTGACGAAATCTCTTGGGAACAGTACTGTTACCGACGACGCAACATGGGTGAAATGGCTAACGTACTTAAACAAAGTGTCCTAGGATTCGCAGGGATGCCAGAAGAACAGTTTCTTGCTCTTCCACCGGAGGCACGTACGATGGTGATGACTGGAACTCAGGCTTTGATGTCTGGTGGTGGGCCTGGTCCGAATGGTCCTCCTGGAGTCGGAGTCGGACCAGGAATGATGCCTGGTGTGGGTATGAATCCTATGGGCCCGATGAATCCTATGATGGCGGCGGAGATGGGTGGTATGGGTGGTATGCCGCCTATGGGCGTTGGGATGGGAGGTCCGATGGGTATGGGCATGAATGGTGATATGGGTGTTCCTATGCAAGCGCCTGGTCAGGGACCAGGACCAATGATGCAGGATGGTGGTGTGCCGGGAGGTCCAGTGCAGGTACAGGGTCTTGGACAAGGCCCGGGTGTAGGTATCCCTGGACCGAGCGGAACACCTGAACAGGGAGGCCAGATGACGTTACCTGATGGTATGCCTGGCGGACCGCCTGGTATGATGGGTATGAACATGAATATGAACCCTGACTTTGGTGCGATGCAGGTACGATATTCCCTTACTTTGTAAAGTTTATTTCTTCGGTATTGAGAACAAAACAAAATGGAAATTATGAACAGATGCAAGAAAACAACGTACAAACCCCACAAATGCATCCTGGGATGGAACCAACAGGAAGTGGAACACCAACTCCAGTCTCTGTCCCACCACGCGTAGGTTCCACCCCCGTATCCTTCCGTGGACGAGGTATGGCTCCAAATTTACCAGCTGCACCTCGCGGTGCACGTCCTACTCCTCCTGCCTTCCCCTCTCGTGGACGTGGACGCGGGTTTGACGTCGGTCCACATCCTGTACCAGGACGACCTGTATCACCACTTCCGAAGAACGTACCTACCGGTCCACGAAACCCGGGAAATAAGTATAAGGATCGTGATAATAATGCTCCTGCGGTGGAAGGACTGGACTACGGCGGTGGGGTTAAAGAAGGTGGAGGGAGTATCACGCCTGTGAGTGAACGAGACAGGGGAAGGGAGCGTGAATCGGAGGAGAAAGAGAAATCTTTATTGACAAGGTCCTGATCCTTCATATACCTCCTTATCGCATCTGTTTAATAGTGAGACTGACTCCTTTCATATTGGATTTTTTTTTCTTTAGCAGAAAGCGACGAAGCCCACCTAGAGATGAAGAAGACAGACTCGGTCGAAGCTCAAAACGGAGGTGATAATTCGTATTTGGTACTTGGAAGTGGAATAGTTCCTACCGTTTCTTGTGCACTTTTTTCTATATTTGTTCTCTTCAGTTTCATACAGCTTTAGCATCTCGTTTTACTGTACATACCATACTCCCTTGCTATCGTGTCTTATTATCTAGACCACTTGTCAATTAACATCATCTCCGAGAACTTGTTATTTTGTACTGCGTGTCAGGAGATATCCGTTCTTGGGGGTTGTGTTATCGCTTTGAGCGAACCGGCTCAGATGAAATGTATGTGAGAGACAGCATTCAAACAAAGAGTGCATCTGTTTATATGAAGTGAGATTGTTCTATACAAAATAAAGGTTGGACAAGTTCTAATATTTCTAATTCTGTTTCATCCAGACTTTTTGTCCAACCAAGAATCTGTATCTACCCTGGTGGTTCTCTTTATCTCCTCATTTCTTCAACAGCTCTTTCAACTTTCTGCACCTGTCCTTTATATTTACCCAGCTCCCCCATATCTGGTTCATCTCCCAAATCACTGATGTTCTTCTCTAGAGTTTCGATGTAGTTTGTAAAGTTTGTCTTGCTTGTGTTGATACGTTTCAAAAGGCCTTCTTTCTCCTGTTGAACTTGTTTGAAGAGTGGTTTGGCTACCTTCATGTGAGCGTGGCCTGAAGGTTGATTGTTGCCTCTGTGCTGGTCCATATTCGAGTATGTGTTGTAGTAGTTTAGCTATGTAGTTGAAGCTACACTTTTTCGTTACATTCCCTTTATATGTAAAGACATTTATTTATACATATGGACGTTGGCAAAGCAAAGGTGACAGGCAAAGTAGAATGTCAAACAGAACTGCATTGGTAATTTGGTATTGCTCTCGCCACAGAAATGCGTTGCAAACAAATGTTCTATTATTGCAAGAAGCAGACGCAAAGAGCGTGTCATTTAATATTATTGTAGACAATTTGCGACACGATGCATTTGTGCATAGACGTGGCGATGTAAGTACAACGAGGGGAAAAAAATGCAAATTTAGAGAATGTATTTTTGAATGATGAACTTATGGCGTTGTGCAATGTTTGTTTGATATTCAATTCGTCCAGTCAACTCAACTATTATTATGTGCAGAAGAAGACGTAGTGCCACGTGAAGGATCAAGGGCAACTCGGTAAAACTATGAGTCTATGATTCATTATCAGCAAAATTAATATGAGTAGGGTCGGCGAGAAAATAGAAGATCTGGAGATAGGACGGCGTTGAGAAGGTCGAAGTAGAGACCTTGTAAGTATAGTATTATTATTAAGAAGCAGCAGCGTGCATCTCAAACCCAGCGGCGCTCTGTACGGTATCGAGATACATCTGCATCTGTTAATTGTGATCTCTTGAATGTGTCCCGCCGGGAGATATCTGACAAGTGCAGAGCGGAGGACTAGTAGTAGTACTAGGAACATGGGCATCCGGCGCCGGAAGACGGAGGCTATTACTTCCTTTGACAGCCGTGCAAGTGGTGGTGAAATAGGAAATAGACACGAAGACCGAATACAGATACACAAAGCGTCAAGAAGACCGTTTATACAAGACGTCAAACTAGACAAAGGTTGTCGTAATTGATGTAATTGATGACAATGACAGCAGTTGGAAGGGAAGGGAATACGCCTGGAGCTCCACATCGGCATGGCGCTCGATGAAAGCGGAAGCCAAGCTAAAGTTCAAGGCGAATAACTAATACGTGTATGTATCTGGGGATGTTGGGGATGACGTGGCCGGCAGGCAGGGTGTATTTGTTACAGAAGCATGCATCGCGCAGTTGCGACACCAGTCAAGTTGATCCTAGGACGCCAGCTCAGAAGGACAGATATAGGAGATAGACAACGTGAGCTAAGCATGATGTGGGGTGCTGCGCATTTGCTTGGATCGTGCGGCGAGTGAGTGATAGTCAGTGACATGACAAGTGCTGGCTTCGGATGACTGAGCAGCGGCGCTCGTGGGCCTCTTGCATCTTTCATATTGTCACAGAAGGAGACGGAATTCAGGTGATACTGCCGTTGATCCTGCTCGAGGAGCGATATGAGGGCTGATGGCAGTGATAGAAGACATGACTGGATGGTCCGGCGTTCTTACATCTTCTTCCCATCTTCTTTCATTTGTTCGTAGTCGAGCTTGTGATTTGGCTTGGTTTGTTCCGCCAATCAACAACTGAGCAAGACATATATGGAAGACAGTAAGGCGACCGGGTTATCTTGCGGACAGACACAGCATCGCAACAAGGGAGAAAGACAGACCGGAATCGGGATTGTGCGAGAGAGAAGTCATTTCCAGCCTGATTATTTCATCTTCCAAACCTTGACTTGCCCAATTGGGGAGCCATGGGGAATCATGGGAACAGGGCATGAGTGATACGAGAGCATCGCGACAGTTTATAGGCAAAAGGCGATTCAGGTTGCTGCGGCCGTAGTAAAACGTACAGCTCACCAAAAAATCGGGAAAAAAGACGAGTGGAGAGGCATGACATATTAGAGCTAGCTGTGAAAATATAGAGCGAGCATTGGTAAAGGAAGAGTGGAGAAAAAGAAAGAAGATTGCGCTGGCACTAGTCCTCAGGCAACCGAGAGAGGCAGGAGCACGTGTGCATTGTGCCCGCAAATAGCAGCCTGGCGCCTGTTCTCGAGGGTTTGGACAGATACCATTCCCGCCCGCCTCTCCCTCGATTGCCAGCGCGACCAGCTCTCTCTCTCGGTCGTCTGCAATCTTCAGCCTGCGTTTCTAACGACCTTTCTTACGATCATCCACGACGCATTCCGCTCGCTTTCTTTAAAGCACAAGGTCTGCCACTTCGCCCAGTCAGTACTACGCCAGTCTCTTTCTCATCAACCCTCTTCCAATCTACCCTCCCGCCCCGGCATCCCCATCGACCGTTCTCGCCACTCCTTCCCTCGTACCGCCTCCAAACGCCGAAACACACTGACGCTCGGATATCCAGACTTACGACGCTCATCTTTTGTTGTGCCCATCGCCCAAGTCGCATGCACATTACCTACTCTCTTTGTCTCAAGCAAATCGTTCGCTTTTATCTCTCTTGAGCCCTCTCCCCGCCATTAGCGCCCTTCCGAGACACCCTGCGACGATCGATCACTACCGATTCCAAGCACCGGTCCTGAATCCAGAGCGGCCCAGATACCTCTTTTCCGTGAGTTCGACACACTTTCCTTTTTCTACAATGTCCATGTCGCTGACATACGCCGGCACTGCCTGTACTCTTCGACCCGTGACCATATTCGTTTGACTCGGCTTACCTTGGTCGAACCTATCCATCGATGACACCTTCTCCGTGCATCGCTTTTGTCTCTCTTCTTTCGCCCCGCTCCGTCGACAATGGTGCCTTGTTCCGCGTGTCTCTCCTAGCCCACAAGCATAATTACTTCTGACGATCCGAATTCAATGGATAGCTCTTTACTTTCTCCCTCACTCGCATTTGACCTGAGATCTCCCGACGACGACTTGCCATCTCACTTAACTTTAGCAAGTCCACCATCCTCCCCTCTTATGGTCTCGCCCCTGTCGCCGAGTCTATCTCCCCGAGTCTCATTTGCTTCACAATCACTCCTCAAGACGCAATTTGGCACGTATTCTTCTTATCTTACGCAGCACTCTCCGGACGCACTTTCACCCGGTCCGGGCTCTGCGACGAGCAGCGACGACTCCCGATCCCCTGTGGATAATTCGCTTGACGTTGACTTCGATAACATGGCCGACTTCGAGTACACCTACCCCTTGTCCTTCCATGGAGTAGGAAACACTGCATTTGGTGGAGGGGATGCATACAACCATTCTCAGGCGTCAGTGAACGACCGTAAACAGCGTCCTATTGAGATCAATTCTACAGATGGAGAAAGCATTTCTGTTGCTTCGCCATACATATTCGGGAACGGCGAGCTTCCATACATCAGCGGCCATCTCAAGCAAGAGTACTACACTCCTCCGAACGTCTCGGACATGAGTGCCTACAATTACATGGGCGTGGCATCACCCGACCACGCCTCGGCACAGACATACGCATACACGTCGTCACCCGAGTCATCATTCATTGACGGGACCGCATATTACTCTCCGCCGGCTCCGGTCCACGCGACGGCGCCCATTCCTATTAGCGCCCATTCACAGCAGCATTCCCCCACATATCCGATGCCTGGTCATGCTGGGCACTCAGGACACATCGCCTCAACATCCGCCGGGCAGGGAGGCTGTGATCCTCGCTTTGTCAGCGGTTCCCCACCGGATCTCGATTACCGCTCCAGGATTGCACCCGGCTCCGGCCCGAATCCGACCGGCTTTTCTCCGGTTCGTTTTGCGGGTGCTTTCGGCTCGGCTGATGCCGATACCGACGCAGATGCTGATGCTGACGGGGAAGTGGATCTTAAGGACGGGGACGATTTAATTGAAGATGCCAGCGGTGAAGAGGAACGCACAGATGATGACGGTGGTGACAGCGACTACATTGATGGCAGGCGCCGACTGAGACCTCGTGCTTCGCTCGTTGTCCCTTCTCAAGCAGCCCGGGTTACCGCCTTAACAACACCGGTGGTGGGTTCTTCGGTTGCTACCGCTGTCTCATCGTCTCCTCGCGACGGCTCGCCGAGTACAGTGATCCGAGTCCAGCGGCCGTCTGCACCGGCGCCCGTTCCTGTTCCTAATCTCACCAAGAAGTCACGAGGTCGCCGAGTGCCAACCCATCCGGGCATTGTCGTCCAATCTGACGGCGCCCCACGCCGCACGCGTGGTTATACCTGCCGAGTGTCAGGCTGCGGAAAGTGTTTCGCGCGCGGTGAACATTTGAAGAGACACATCAGGAGTATCCACACGAACGAGAAACGTGAGTTACGAGATCGCGCTAATTTTGTTTTGTGTGTATTCATTAAGCGGTTTCATTTATCCAGCTCACAAGTGTCCTCACCCTGGTTGCGGTAAGGAGTTCAGCAGACACGACAATCTATGCCAGCACATGCGAGTGCACAGAAATTTCTCTGCTCCGCGTGATGGTGGACTTCCTGCTATGTAGATTTTCCTTGCCGCGCTCCCTCGCTTTCCCACTGCTACGAAGACCCGGCAATGTCGATTCAGCTTCTGCGGATTCACTGATCGTCGCCTTTTCTAATCCCCGTACTTACGACTCATCACGACTTATAACGACTTAACGACTTTCTCTCTTGTGTCTCGTCCACAATCACAGCTTTTTGCGCATCGTTAAACCTAGGTTATTAACTTCTGGTTTTCATTCAACGGACGGTTGTCTCGAATCTATCTCAAGTTACTACTCGATCTCATTCATTACTTTTTTTCCCATGTTACTTTTCTTCTTTTCCTTCTTGTTTCAAGTCAGCAGCGACTGCGTCACTAATTGCGCAATCCATCATACCCCTGTATCTGCTGCTCTGATAGTATTTCCTTTCTCTCCCCTACCTCCCCCCTCACTCGTGCCGCCAATGTGGCCCTTTACGTTTGCTTTCAACGTTGCGATCGCGCACACACACGCTACGGGCTTTCACATTTGCTTTTAACAACCTTTTCTTGAATCAATTATCCATGTCTCTCATTTCTTTCCTTATTGTTTCAATAGTCTGACGAAGTGCAGAAGGGCTTTTTTTATTGCCCACTTTGCGAATTGCTTATCCGCTACCTCCTTGGGTACATAGTACGTACGTCACTGCAATAGCTAGCTGTATCATTTTCCCTCGTTTTCCTTCTCTTCCTCTTCTTTCCCCTGATCTACCCTGTTCGATTTCCTATTTCCCACCCGCCGAATGTCTGTACGATCCTCTCTATCCTCTCTATCTGTATTTCCGTCGTCAACAATCTTGCTGTGTATGTGGGGAGAAGCATCCGAGAAGATGGACCTTCGATTCTTTAAGAAGAAGAAAGAACGTGAATGTTGTATTTTAATCAGTGCTAGGCGAAGTGTATGTTATAGTTTGCTTGTATATGTCATGTATTTTATAATAATTAGCTCTGAGAAATGCACTGTATTCATTCGACTGCTTTATTAATTACTCCTTAGGTTGTGCAGCCACTGTTGCGAGGCAGTGATGTATCTCAAGTAAGCTAGGACCTCCATTCGGACATTTAGCATTCAAGGGCTGTAGTATTATCAAATGTAATGACGAGATTGTTGAAATACTTCAGATATAGTGCCCGATGGTAAGCATCCGTTTTGTTTTGTTTTTATTTTTATCAAGTTGTCCACTGCTTCACGTGACCGTCGTGTCCCATCTACACGACGAGGAGTTACGCTCTCTTTGAAAGTTATCATGAGCTGACGACATCGAGCTCAATGCCTTTACTTTTATCCTGTTCTTCATCCTCATCTATACTGCTGCTGAGCTTACGATTCTTCGTTGTCCTCACGTTCTTTGTGTCCTTGGTAAACGCGAATACTGAGATTCGGAACTTTCGTGTTTCGCGATACTCTGCGTCTTCTTCACTTACTACAATTGCTGCTGGAGAGGATATTAATGTGCCATGGATCTTGAGCAGTCTGGAGAATGGACTTCTGGCTTTGGAAAAGATGAACGTGACACATAATGAGCGGACGTTCCGTATTTGGCCTGCTAGTGTCGGGACGCCTTTGCACGAAGTATGCGAACCTGGCAAACCCGCTGCCAACTCGGAAGGATCGGGCGACGTTAACCACGACGCTAGCCAAGTGAAAACTGAGAGTAGAGGAGGCATGGAGAGATGTCCGAACGAACTATGGTTGGAACTTGACCTCTCTGAGTTGAAGTGGAGGTGGTATGATATGTTTACGATTCGGATTTCTTGGCCTGCATTCGTAAGTATTCGACAACATTATTTTGATTACGCTCTGTCTGTTTTTATTCAAGTGTCGTTCTGATTTTTACTTGTTTTTGTCCTTGTGTAGTACCCAACGGATTTCGACATCACATTATATTCACCTGAAGGATTCGCAGCTTATATCCATACTCGATCTCCCTCCTCGGTAGCCGAAGACGTATCAGACAGAAAAGCATCTCTAGAGGATTCGCGTCTACACTTCGCACGCATCCGACTCGTCGACACAGGGATCCGTACGCCCTCAAATCCTTCATCTACTACACCGAAGGTCAATCTAGACAAAGAACGACGAGAACCAGTCCCTTTCACAATCACCCTCGAACCTCTCCTATTCGGAGTCCTTCCCTTAACACTCCTCCCAACGATATATTTCTCAATCCCGATACTCGTCGGTGTTCTGTATGCATTTCCGTATGTGATGCAATATTTGGAGGGTGTTGCAGAAGAGGCAAGGAAGGAGTTGAATGAATTAGAGAGGGAGAAGGAGAGGAAGAAGCGGTGATGAGGTTTTTGATTTTTTGATTTTTTATGTACTTTGTTTTGTTTTATTTTGTAAATGTAAATTTATTTACTTATAATTGAAGAGTGTGAAGAACGGTTATATGCATGTACATTCTGTTGGTGGACAATATCAGCAGACATGCTAAATGTAAGTATCATCATACGAGGTACTTCAAGAAATAAGAAAAGGAATAGAAAGTCACTTGACAAAATATGCCAAGTTTCGAAAAATAAAAATGTTCAAGAAAATGAATGTGCAAATGCATACAAATAACACATAAATACTACCATGGACAAAATGGATTATATATACCCCTCACACTGTCGCACCCGCAACACTCTCAAGCTCAGGCAAATGCACAGCAGCAAGCCAAGCAAGGAACACCTCCACACGAGCACTGTGCAATGCGAGACCCAACGGAACGGATTTCGCACTGTTAGAGTTTTTGTTTGCGATGCGTTTGCATTCTGTGCAGAGATGGAGACGTGTACGGATAGGTGCGAGGAGGAAACAGAGGGACTCGAGCGAGGAGCAGAGGGATGCTAAGATGCTTACAGGTCGTTCTCAACCTTGGTTTCTTGACACATCAGGCATTTCACAATTTCTTGCCTTAAAAAATAACTTACATAATGTTAAATATTATTCATACTTTAATTTACCATTTCTGGTTGATAGAAATTGTAAACAACATTTAAAATTTTCTTTATACAAAAACTATAAATTATTTTTGACATATCTTTATTTGTGAAATCTTGAAATAAATGAGAATAATTATTTAAAACATAATTTCAAGTTTCTTTTAAAACAAAATTATAAAATTTCTTTCAAATTTTGAGACAAAAAAGATTTAGAATTTCATTTATAATATTAAATCTTATGAAATGTTAAAAGAAATTTAAAATTTTACTCAGAGAAGAAATGCCAGAAAAAAATTAAAATTATTTCAAAGTGGGCAATCAGTAGGTGATCAGTGGGCAATCAACAGGCAATCAACAGGCAACTACCAAATAAAGACATTTTCGCTTTATTTGGTAGTTGCCCATTGATCACCTGTTGATTGCCTATTGCTTGCCTGCTGATTGCCTACTGATTACCTACTGATTGCCTACTTTGAAATAATTTTAATTTTTTCTAATATTTCTTCTCTGAGTAAAATTTTAAATTTCTTTTAACATTTCATAAGATTTAATATTATAAATGAAATTCTAAATCTTTTTTTTTCTCAAAAATTTGAAAGAAATTTTATAATTTTGTTTTAAAAGAAACTTGAAATTATGTTTTAAATAATTATTCTCATTTATTTCAAGATTTTACAAATAAAGATATGTCAAAAATAATTTATAGTTTTTGTATAAAGAAAATTTTAAATGTTGTTTACATACACTTTCTATCAACCAAAAATGGTAAATTAAATTATGAATAATATTTAACATTATGTAAGTTATTTTTTAAGGCAAGAAATTGTGAAATGCCTGATGTGTCATGATCACGGTGTGCTATCGTCAGTGAACCGCGGTTCACCCGCTTAAGACTAGACGCTTGGTTCCTTGCCACTATGACCACCCAACACGACAATGGTCCTGTGTCCATCTTTACTCATTACGGTATTGAGGTGAAGGAAGTCCCGAGAGATAACTCAGAGTACACAGGGTCTTTAGCCGCTTTGTATGACAAGACCTGGAAGCAGCGAGACCCACGTGCCGTATTCAAGTTGGTAGACATCCCTCGCGACGAAAAACGGTCAGACCAGACAAGCGAACCCATCCCCGATAAGTCATGCGTACTATCTTGGCAAGTTGCAGGTGAAGTACCCTGCATCCTGCGTTCTCCTTTCCAGTGCCGCAGGATATTTGTTCGTAATGAGTATCGATGTGTCTTGGCAGAGCTCTGGAAACTCTTCGGCAAGGGTTTTGGTCATTTGGCTGGCTTTGTACCGAATGAAAAGATAGCAGACATAGGAGCCTTTCCCCCCACAAATCCTTTCGTTGGTTTAGAGATCAAGTCAGTGGAGGAGCAAATGGTCCCTGGTGTAGTTATTGCTGGTACTCCCGGGATTGGTGAAATAACCTGACTTACGGTTTAGCTACTTAGCACTTATTGACACTTTGCTAGGGAAGTCCCTATTTCTCTTGTACTTGCTAGCACTGCGCCTGCTCGCACAGCAAACGACTATCCTACAGTTCGCGGGCCACGAATTTATAGTGTTTGAGAAGGCCGGAGTATTTGTCTGTTCCGATTTGCACTCGGAACTCCGATTCCTGCCAGAACATACTTGGTTCCTGGTAGACAGCAACAAGGAAAATATAGAACCGCTTCAGTCATTTATCACCTCTTGCCTTTCGTACCCTCGGAGGCTAATCGTATCGGCATCACCTCGAACGGAACGATTTGACTTTAAAAGCAAAATTCCACGACTCGCAGTTACTTGGATGAAAACATTCGAACTTTGGGAAATCATTGCAGCGTAAGCTTAAATTCTCCTTCAGCATGAGGTCGAATCATATGACATTGTGATTCCACTAGGCGAAAAGACCAAATCTTTCAGACTCCGGAGAAGGAATGCGTATATGATGCCTTTTATCACAAATATGGCCCTATTGCGCGTTTAGTGTATACATGTGCTGGCCAACCAAAAATACATAGGAGAAGCATTGTGGAAAACCTCGAGCAAGTTCCTTGGGATGGCCTTTCGCAAACGATTAGGAATTTGGCTTCAGGCTCCTTCGATAGTCCATTTTCTCACAACACAATTATTGCACAGCCTACTGCAAAAGATCGCTCCGATTTCTATGTCGAGTTCGCAACAAAGTCAGTTGCAGAGCTGGTAATGGAGACGTTTCTCAATAGAGAACAAACTAGAGCTCAAGAACTCTATCGATATTTCTTGGCATGTCCCAAGGCCAGAGCAACAGCTGGTCACTTGTTGGAGGCAACTGCTTTGGTGACTTTTCCGAGGGGCGGCGCATGGCAGATGCGGAAAATGGAGAAATTGACGAAGCGCAAAAGCTCAAAGAATCAGATTTATGCTTACAGGTCGACCGCGTCAGTGTACACGTTGGTTATTGGTCAGCGATTCGCGTTGCCAGTGCAGATTTTGGTGGGCAATACCCAGATTCCCCAGGAAGACTTTCATAAAGTACAGCAACAGACGTGCAACCCTGGAGAGGAAGAAACGAGCGAGGAAGAAACGAGCGAGGAAGAAATGAACGAGGAAGAAATGAACGAGGAAGAAACGAGCGAGGAAGAAACGAACGAGGAAGAAACAAGCGAGGAAGAAACGAGCGAGGAAGAAACGAGCGAGGAAGAAACAAGCAAGGCAGAAAGCAAGTCAGCTACGTTTTGCATCCCGAAAGCTTCCAACAATCCAGGTTTTGATGCATGGATTTATTGCCCGGAACAGAAGCTTTTGGTGATTTTCCAGGCTACTACTTTAAGGCAGACTCACAAGATTCAAACTACAGCATTGGAGTGGCTTTGTGTACCCAAGGGCGTAAAAATCGTACTCGTCGTTGTGTCGGATGAGGCAGGTGGAATGCAGGTATCCTTAAGGCCGGAAGATTCTAGTTGGATCAGTGATGCGTATCGTTTAGTAATGTAGGCACCTCCTTATTTGTCTTGACTTTTCGCTGTATAATACCAATTATATGTCTGGATTGGACTGTACTACAAATTATGTGTTCTATTAGTCTCAATTATTCACATTCTTTTTCGGCATTTGATATCTTCAGTGTGACAGCAACATCTTACTAGTGAATATTCAAACATAGTTATATTATTTATAGGATGAAGCTAGACTTTCCTAACTAACACAAAAGTTTTCCTAGATATAAGATAGAATTTAAGGACAATTTTAGGTCTCTAACAATAAATTTTAGTAGACAATTTCAAGCAGAATAGAGTTTACACTGACAAGTAATAGGTACACATATTTATATTACAGCCCTTTATTCTCTTGTATCTAAAGAAAACAAAGGGTGATATATGTATATATGGTTTGTCGGTCGCCAAAATCGGCATAATCATATACGAGGTGCTTCAAGAAACAAGAAAAAGGAAGTCACTTGACGAAGTTTTGCCAAAAGTTCAAGGGGGGAAAAGATGTGTAGGCATATAATAAGACATAAATATTTTCATATACCATGCATGGATCATATACCCCTCACACTGTTGACGCAACGCTCTCGAGCTCAGGCAAATGCACAGCAGCAAGCCAAGCGAGGAACACCTCCACACGAGCACCGTGCAATGCGAGACCCAACGGGACGGATTTCGCGCCGTTAGAGTTTTCGTTTGCGATGCGTTCGCGTTCTGCGCGGAGATGGAGACGTGTACGGATAGGTGCGAGGAGGAAATGGAGGGACTCGAGTGAGGAGCGGAGGGATGCTTGCGGGTCGTTCTCGACCTTGGTTTCCTGAGGCCCTATAGGTTGTGGTGAGGAATCGAAGTCGGCGTCTGAGCTGAGAGATGGACGACGACCTGATGCTGGTGAGGTTTTGGTGCTGCATGACGTCGACGTCGAGGGTCCCGCGGAGGACGAACTCGAAGCGATTCCCGTATCGTCATCTGTAACAACCAAAACAGGCGTTAATGATGCGGTTGGAGGAGGTTCGTCCTGCGAACAAGGGGGAGATGCATCGCGTGTGCGGAATCGGACGAGTGCATTGGGCAGTTTACCATACTTCCATCCACCAGCGAGTCGTTCGAGCGTCTCAACGAACTCCGCCTGCGCCATCGAGCGAGGAGCAAGGAATACTGGATAACCTTCCAATCCCGCAACGATACCAGCCGTGTTTGCAAACGTAGTTAAGAGAGTCTCGTACTCTCCCAACAACAGCAGGCAATTCAGGATATTAAAATGCGACTCGAGCATGAATGGATGATACGTCGTGAATGCGAGTGGGACGTCCGTCAGTGCATCGGCCTCGGGTGATAGAGGTTCGTGCGATCGATTAATCGGACGGAACTTGTCGAGTAGTGCGAACCCGCGCTCAACTTTTTGTAAAGGGTCTGTCGCAGGCTCCATCATGCAGTACATCTCAGCGGAAGGCTCCACCGAATCGAAACGAGAAAGGAACTTCTCGTAGTCCCGTTTGCTTTTCCTCAACAACGCACAAACCTGCTCGCGGACAGTACTGGTACTGGTACCTTCACAGAACGCCGAACGATACGCACGCGCCTTGACACCATCCGATCGTCCAAGTGGACCATCTGGGTTATTAACTTCTATCCCACCATATTTTCCGTGAATATTAGATAACTGTAATTCACCGAAATCGTTAAGCGGGATGCGCGGGATTCCTTCGAGCTTGAAGATCGTTTCCTCGATAAGGTATAATGCATGTGTGAAGTACGTCGCGCCACGAAGGAACAGGGCCTGAAGTTCTATCGGGTCCGGTGCGTCTGGTAAGACAGAAGGATGGATAAGAGGCTGTTCGCCACTGGAACCCTCGATCGCTGATGCTGTACCGTCCGGTGGCGCCTGCCCGTTGACTCTGTTTTTTCGACGCTTTGCTTTCGGGTGATTGGCACTGTTGGATCTTTGTGCTGGATTATGAGCTAGACGTGCCCGACGAACAGCTCGGGATTCTTTTATGGTATGTGTAAAGTCTTTCGCGGCTAGCACGAATTCGTCTCTGAAACAGTGGACTATCCCTCGGGTACGGTAGAACTCCAGTCGTTGCGGGCTGTCCGCCATTAGCTGATCTAATATAGCTGTAGACGTCGATTCTGCGAGTTGTCTACAAAATATTCATACGTTTTAGTTGTTGAACTTCTGTTAAAATGTAGGTACTAGACCATTACCTCGAAGGTATCTTTTCATGAAAGAAATGTACATAACGCGCATTAACGTTCTTCGGGTCTGCAACTCAATTTACTCATGAACCGATTGAGCCGCTAAAACCGTCTCACTCACCGACTTTAAGCACCTTCTCCGCAATATCATCGAATACAGTCCCTCTTTGCATGACCATGACACTCGAAGCGATCTCATCTGTTTTGTATGCTTCTGCCAGCTTTTGGACGGCGAGTGCACGTAAACGGTGTACGCGCGTAGCAGACATAGTAGTATTCCTTCCTCCGTTATTATTTACACCACTTCCACTGAGATCGTTCAAAGAACCTAGTCCAAGAGCTTGTGCGGCCGTCCACGAGCTTCCATTTATCCCATTCACACCACCTCCAGATCCACCACCTGTACCGTTATTTCCACCGCCAAGAGGCTGTAAAGACCCGAGAGCGGCGGCTGAGAGGCCTGAAGAAGCTCTTACGGAGAGTTCGGCCGCTTCGTCAATGAGACGTCGGATATTGATGACTGAACGGAAGACGCCTGGGTCTACGGGAGGTGGTGCGGCTTTGCCTATTAGTGAAGGTGACGGTTGAGGGAGTGCGAGACTTGCTCGTGTTGGTGAAACAGGCCGAGAACAGTGGTTATAGTTGTAACTGTAGGAAGAGGACGTTGAAGATGGGAGAGAGAGAAGTGAGTTACTACTTCGGTCGCATAGACGGGAGAAACCTGTTAAGCGACGTTGTTGTTGTGAAGTGGATGAGGGAGGTGGGACGTCCCAAGAAGAAGGTGAAGTTGGACGAGTATCATTTGAGATTGTCGTAGGATCGAGGTTGAGGGCGAGTAACGACTCGAGCAGCTCAACCGGGAGCTGCAGCCATGGTCCCTGTATTCATGCATTACAACAAAGTTCATATTGTAAGCATCCAACAAAATGCTTTAGAGAAAAAGAGACACGCACATGATACGAACTTATATACTTCCAGTGCTTATTCCTGCTAATACACAGAACGCTCCCATTCGTATTCCCATTCCCAATGTTATTCGCACTGCTGCCATCCGAGCTCGAAGCCTTGCTGCTGCTCTTCGTACCACCACCACCACCACCACTTTTCTTCGTCCGTCTCCTCTTTTTCTTCTTCGCAGCCGAAGAAACACCATTTGCATTCCCAGTCTCAGCAGCAACATAACTGCTGTCTTCAATATTTTCCGACGTCAACCCATTCACGTTGTCCACCCGAAGAAGAGATTGAAAGTGGGCATTGTCGACGTCCGAAGATGAAACAGGCTCGACCATAGTCTTCGTACTCGGCACGTCTTCAGACATCTTATGCGAATATTTATCCTAGTAGCCGACGCAGACCTATGCTTTGTCCAGCCCCTTCATTGAAGGACTGAAAGAATTCGGAAGAAAGGAGACGGTGGCTCTCGTCCGAGAGTTCGGGCAGGCAAAACAGAATTACAGGTAAACCGAGCGTGATAACTCAGAGCATCTCCTAATTTAGAAATCAACTCTACTACAAGTGCGCCTCGGCTAAATTTGCTCACACATAAACAAAGTAAACTCTAACTCAAATCGTTCCTGTACACATGAGAGAAACACTTATTAAAAGTAGAAGACCAAACAAGCACCCGAAATGCAATCTGCAATGAAAGAAGTACAATGAAAGGGGTCTCAGCAGTTTTAATTTGTGTCTATTATTGAGGAAGCTGCTTTGATTCTGCAGGTACGTTTATTGTATATACAATCTACTCATTACTTACACTTTTGCAACTAAGAAAAAGAGTAGATTAGTACAATTAAATGAAAAGGAAAGAGAGTATACCGAGAGTATCATATTTGCGTGAAGGAGGAAGCAGAGTGGAATAGAGGGCAGAAGAGATCCGAGAGAAAACGTCAGCACAGAAACAAACTCTAACTCAAATTGCTCATGAGTATATGACAGAAGCACTTATTCGTTTCGTAAACGACTGAACACTCACCTAAGATACAAACAGCAATGAAAGTTTATACAGAAAGAGCCGCACAGCGTTCTATTTAGTTTAGTAGTCTATATTTAGGAGAGCTGCTTTGATTCTGCATGTATGTTTGTTTTATTGTACGTACAATCTACTCACTACCTACGCTTTCACGATTAAGAAGGGAGGGAGAGAGTAGAGTGGTATCATCAAATGAAAGAGGAGAGAGAGCGCACCGAGAGAGTCATATTACGTGACTGAGGGGGAGGGGGGAGTGGATAGAGGGTTTGTAGAGAGCCGAGAAGAAAACGTCATTACAGCGAGTCCATGCAATTCAAACGCCAAAGAAATAAAAAGGGGGGGTGGGGAGAATGAATAAAGGCGTGTGCACCTTATGTCCGAGAGCGTACTCTGCAATTAAAATAATTAAAATAAAAGAGAAAGAAAGAAAGAAAGCAATAACTAGGACTAGGAAAGCACGAAGGAAAAATGAAAGTATTGAGGAAACGATAGCATGCTATACCTGGAGGGAGTAATGAAAAATCCTTGATGAAATGTCTTGAAAGAAGTGTATCGATGCAATGCAGGAGATAGTCCGAGAGTCTGTTTACTGATAATCACCTTGGGGCCGTGGAGGGGCAGCACCTGGAGGAAGATTGTACAAAGATGAACGCGAGTACCGGTTCGTCTGCGGCTGTTGTGACGACGGCCTCCTTGACTGCGGCCTTGCTACTCGACGAACCCCTTCCGGTCCGGGTACAGGTCCTCTGTCTTCCAAACTGATTCCACGCGCCCTCTGCTGAGCCTGGTACTGCTGTGGCGAAGACTGCTGACGAGCAGCCGAAGCCTGAGTATCATCTGACTCTGAGGTCGTTGTCGTCCCGACCGAGTAATCCTCATCATATCCTGCTGCTTGTTGCGGAGTGGTACGATAAGGGTTCTGCGTCTCGCCCGGATACGCGCTCGACACTGTACCTTGTCGCAGCACGACACCTCCCATGCTTCCACCAGCACCTTGCCCCGCCCGGTTGACGAAGTTTTCAATCGGGTTTGACGGCGGAGGCAAGAACGGCTCTGGCGAACTGTAGGCGCTGTAATCGCCCGGTGGACTAGGTATCAACCGCGCCCGAGAACCAGTATCTCCAAGCATGGGCACCTCTTCGCTGTTTCGAGATCCAGGCGTCGTTGAGAGCCCGGTAGGCCTACTGTTGTTCACCGCCAAGGGTGCCGGAAGCATGACCAGTGGCGAACTATCGAACCTAGGCCGAGGCTGACCACCATAGCTAAAGGAGTCGCCCATATCCGAACTCTGGTGTTGGAACGTCTCCGATGTTGAAATCATAGAAGTCCTAGACATCACAAAGCTTATCAGATCTGACGGCATAGGTGATGATAAACAATAGTACTCACCGCTTCGGAGAATTAGAGCGCATATCAAAGAATGTTGAGTCGCGGGACTGTGTGCCACCGCGCCATCTACGCTCACGCTCGAATTCCGCCCAGCGCTTCATGACAATATGCGACGAATCAAATTCTCCTTCCTTATCACCGTGGCTCCCGCCCTTATCACCAGATATTTGCCGCGTTTGGCCCCAGGAAAAGTCATCGAAGTGCCAATACGCGTATGCTGGTAATACAAAGTTCCATATCGGTAGCGACAGCAGATAGATCAACATCCATCCAACGTACGCGACCTTGCGGGACGTCACCACGATAAGAAGACCAGGGAGACCGAGAATAATCGCCAGCAAGATGAGCGGAATAGTCGTACTCGAACCACCAGGAATAATAGACTCGATAATAAGGAAAAGCGTGAACGAGATGGCAGCCGGAAGAACGAGTGTACCCGCCAGCTCCATGAACACAACAAACTGCATCGAAAAACAGAACGTTCCACAAAGATCCCTAACCAAGAGAAGCTCAAACAAATTGTGTACAGTCGAGTTAATCCAACGTCGACGTTGCGATAGCAAAATACTGAACGTATCCGGTACGATCGTTTTGCAAACCGCCTGCGGACAGAAAATCATCTTCCGCTTCGGGAAGGTCTTGAGCATGAGCGTGGTCAAGAACCGATCCTCTCCAAGAAGTAACAAGTTCTTCTTGTGCAGAGTGTCAACGACGTTCTCCGAGTAATGTTCCACGATATCCGGGTTAGCCAGAATAGGAACCCAATATCCGCCTGCACCTTTCGGAGCCTTCAGACGATACATACTGAAGCAACCGGGTAAACAGGTGACACCACCAAACATTGATTCGAATGCCTTCGTCATGTGGTGGGAGATATAGTACTCGAATACTATTGGCCGACTACAGTCAGCATCAAGTATTGTGATTGTAATCAAGTTACTGACCTTGAATCATCGTGACCCATGTCTCTGCCTTGTTTGCGATCTTAGTCTCACCGCAAAGACCCATAATTTCCTCATCGTGTACCATACACGATACCATGCGCGTCAACGAATCAGGGAACACCTTCGTATCCGCGTCTACACACAAAACCAGCTCATACCTATCCGGGCTAACACCCGTCACACGCCAGATCGAGTTGAAGAACTCGTACTCAAGCGTCGTCATACGCTCGTCAAACATGACCTTCTGCATGAACGCCATCAGCACGATTTGGGAATCACGCTTCCCGCGGTTTCCGGGCTTGGGATCGTTCGCCTCAAGCGGGTTCCCACACTTCGCGACCAATACTATCGGTACCCGCTGTTGCTTCGAACGCTCAACCGTGTTGTCGTCATACGAATAGAAGCCGGCATACACCTTAGCCATGTTATGTTTCTTATGTCCGTCAGCGATGGCGACATACGAATGCGCCTCAACCTCATCTGCAGGGACGACAAGCTCCGTCATCATGGACAACACAATATCCGGGGTCGCCAAATCATTACCGGCTCCCTTCACCATACCGTCGGCAATAACCATGAGCAACTTGTGACTATTCGGGTAGTCGGTCGTAGCCAGCGAGTCTAGCGTTGTCCTCAGACCTGCAACGGACTCGGAATACGCGGTAACCAGACAGATAGTATGCGCCAAAGGGAAGTTGAATGGCATATAGTCAGCCGAGGGCTGCGGCACGACATTGTTGAGTGGGAACGGGCAAGGCGCCTCGTTGAACGAGCCCTTTTGCGATGCACTATCAACAAGGGACGTTGAGCTGCGCGACGAACGGAACGCAGGTGTGTCTGGTGGACTCAGTTTCTTGGCCCCTCCACCACCGTAAGTCGTGCTTCGCTTGTATTGCACGGCATCTGCACCGCGACTCCCGACGAGCTTTGGAACAGTCTCGGAAGGTGTGAAACGCGACGTTGAGGGGAAGAGCGCCGTCTTGCGCTTGCTGTACTTGTCCGTCATGCCGTTCTTCTGGACGTTCGGCCTGTAGCTACTCGGTGCTGGTCGATAGATGTCATCCGTCCAGTTCTCAATTTCCGCGGCTCGACGCATGCGCTGCTCGTACGTCTCGTTACCGAATGCACCTAACCTCCAGGACAAGAACCAGCCGAAGATCACGGCCATCCCGAACTTGATGGCAACGACACCAATGATGAAAATTAGCGATACATATAGCACAATGTCAGAAGCAACGCATCCAATTGTGATCGTGTCGATGAAGCCAACAGTGATGATATCCTGCAAGCATTTCCCGAGCGGTTTCTGGTTGGTCCGAAGGAACATCATTGTAATGTCACGCGCGTTGTACGTGCCATTCGCTGTCTTGAAGTCCTCAAAGATGTCCGGGAAGCTTACTTGAGCCTTATTCAGCCAGTTCAAGAGACTAAAGTCCAGTACGTTGCTGTAAAACGGCAGATCAGAATTACCGACAAGACAGAAAGAACGACGGGTTACTCACCTCTGGTAGACTGCGAGGTTGCGAGACGGGTTCTTGACGTCATCCCAAGTATAATAGACCTGACCCTGCGGAGACATCTTAGCAAGATCACCACGAGCGGTGCTAGAGACGTGACAGGTCGTGTTGGTGTCGTAATTCGTGAGATTGACGCCTGAAGTTCCGAACTGATTGAAGACGTTGCATGGGAAGTACCATTCTAAATCGTCGTTGGCTACGGGGATGGTCGAGTTGCTTGCACGTGTGATGATGTTCCGACAAGAGCCGCCGACGTTTTGGAACATGAATGATATATCTGCACCAGCAACGCCCCAATTGCCCTCAAACAAAGGATTGGAATGTCCATCGAATGAACCGGTAGCAGGGTGGTCGAACTTTGAAAAGTCATAGTCGTAGCCGTGGATGATGACCGAGCTATTGCCAACTGACCCAGAGCGGAAACGATCGGCTGGCGTTCCACATACAGCCTGTGTGAAACCGAAAGTGATGAAACCAACGCCAGCCATGAGGCACATAATTATACTGAGAAGGCCCATCTTCTCGCGCCAAGCTCGCTGTTGTTCGGGTGTGCGGATGCCTAAACAATAGGAGCTCAGGCCGTGAAGAGACCAGAAATAACTGTCAGCCACTCACCAAATACACTGAGCATGAAACCTGGGATACAAATTGTAATGACGACACAATACATCATCCAAGCATCAAGAGGACCGGGAACGTCTGAACAACAGCGTCGCTTCTTTTGCGGCGCATCGGGCTCGCTGTTGATTGTCTGCCGAGACCTGTTTCTGCGAAGTGTTGCACCGCGCTTGAATAAGGCCAGGCCCGACTCTGGGACATCTTGCTCCCGTGCTAGGAGTGACTTCCCGCGCCGGAGAGGGGCTCGCTGAGGATAGTTTCCCGTCGCTGAAAACAAGTGGTCAGCATCGAACGTAGAGATAATAGCATGAACATACAAGAAGGCAAGAGTCCGAGTCTGCCTGCACCTTCGTCCTCCAACTGTGCGGCATGAGTTCGGTAATGCCATAATCGATGACCAGGTTCGATCTTTTCCCTGTCTGGACGAACGAGGCTCTTCTTCCTGGCCACTCGTGAGGGATCGAAGCCACTGCCAGCCCCACTTTCAAGGGCTAAGTCGTCCGGCGTGGGTGGGAGAGCACTGTCGCGGTAAGCCGAAAAGTAGCGTTGTCGCGAGTCGTCGACCTGGCCATGGCGGTCGCCTAGCTCTGTGTTCTGAAAGGAGACATTTCCACGACCAGCAGGGGTCGGATTGAGCGGCGGACGGTTGTGAGGGTCATCGTGGTAGGCAGGTGGGTTGGAGGTCGGGTTGGCGGTGTTGCCGCGAGGCGGCGCAGAGCGAGGGGGGCGTTGGTCGCGGCGGTCCATTGCAGCAACCGCTTGGCGCCACTGGGTGGATGAACGCAGAGCAAAAGCGAGAGAGAAGGAGAGGTGGAGGTGGACGAAAGGAAAGAGTCGTCGAACGAGGGCTGGTGCCCGGTGAGGGAGTGATGTAGGTGTGAGGGGCTGCCCGCCTCACTGGGCTGACCGTTCATCTCCACAAACAGCTCAATGTTCACACGCGCTCAGCTCCATGTGTAAATGGGAAAACTGTGTCCACATATGGCAGGTGTATTTTTATACGTGTTCTTTTTTCTGTCATCGGCTCTGCGTGACATGTCCGTGCACAAGTCCGACATACTCACGACGGCCGCTGCGCAATCACTCCCATCGGCGCCCTCAGAAGCACTCCAAGGAGCGGATGACACACGCCGACTCATCCCCGTCGTCCAGTTTTTTTTTTGTTCGCAACGACGAACACTTCTATGTTCTAGATTGGGTTATTTGTCAAATTGTTCGACGCGAGCACGTGTGAAACGCGAATCAGCAATTCCCGACGCGTCGCTCGTCGAGTCAACCGCCTGCACAGCGTATTCGATGCGCACTACCCACTATCGATACGCGCACTGGCGCATCATTGCCTAATCTAGCTAATCCCGAGCCTTCGCGACTCTCACTGGGCGAGAACGCGTTGACTCGGCACCGATATCCGTGACTCGCCATGGGCGCCTATCTCTCCTAGGCCTCTCCTTCTTTGTCCTCTCTTGCCAAAATGTCGGGCACCTCCCTTTCTCTTTGCCGCGCACGTCCCTTCGCGATCTGATACCGACTCCCGAGCTCCCCGCCCCTCCGCCCCGCCCTCCCGCCTCGCGCCCTGCGCCCTCTACCCATTGCGCTTTATCTCGTTCTTCTTTAAGCGCCAAGCGCCCTATAAGAGAGGCTCACCGCCCTCCGGCGTCCCATCAGCACTTCCGCCTCGCCTCGCTCCCGCCTCTTACGCCCCCCTAGTCTAGTTATCTCTACGCATACCGACTCAATCAATCAGCCATGTCCTCTCGCTCAGCTCGCACCTATGACTGGCAGCGGCTCGCCTCGCCAGCGCCGTCAAGTACTTCAGGTTCCGGATCCGGGCCTGGCTCCCATCACAGCGCTGGAGACCAGTTTCACGGGCTATACCCGAATGCCCCGCACCTTAGGCCCATTGCTCTACCTGAGACAGGTAGTCCAATGATAGGCTTTACGAGCCCGGGATCGTCGTCATCTTCGCGGTCTCGCCATGTGTCCCTTCCCCCTGAAGGAACTGGTCTTGGAATATGTAAGCTCTGCGCGCTTATTTTCTATCCATTCAAGACATCACATGAATAAAACATTTATTCGTTCATTTCTGACTTACTTCTTATTTGTTGTTTAGATGGCTTAACTTCATCCCTGACCTCACCTGAGAGCATACAGTCCAACGGTCATATGGCCGCACCCACCGTCCACCCGCTCCTCCGTGGCAGTGCCAACTCTCTCTCTGCACCGCTCGCATACAACTTACTTGTTGCACCCACCACACACGGTACATACGCACTGCGAAACGCAGACGGCGCCAGAGTCACATCTCACGACCTCTCCCTCCCCGCAACACACCCTCCCTGCTCTGCTCTCCGTGTCTCACTCCTCCTATATCCAGGCGGTGCCTCCCGCGCACCGCGTCGTTTCCCCTGGGACATCACACTTACACCCTCCCGTCGCGCCTCTGCACCTCCTACCGCTCCAGGCCCTTTGGCATTCGGCGACGCGCTCGCATCGCTTCATCTCTCTCTCCTCGTACCTGTCTCTGAGACCGAGTTGAGGCAGTTCTCGCCGAGTGAGGTGCAGAATGCTCGAGCGATATTCGCTGCGAGGAGGACAGCGTATCCGAACTCACCTGTTAATATCGTACGCGCGGACTTTTTGTGCGGATGTACGGAGTTCGCGGGGTTCGTACGAAATGCGGATTACTCGTTCGTCGTTCGTATGGCGCCGTCTTCTTTTACTTGATTCGGGTTTCATATTAAGGAGTCAATCAATTCGCTCTTCTGGTTTTTTGGTTTTCTTTCCCTCTTGCTCTTTTGGATTGATACGACTCTCGCGCTGATACTGACGCTTCCTGATCTGACTGCTTTTGACTGCTATGCTTTTTACACTTGGTTTGACTGACTAAACTCCCCGCTCTATGACCTTTCTCTCTTGGTTTGATCTCCTTCATCATCTCTTCCATCTCTTTAACTTTGGATTCGACTTTTTTATCGAACTTTATCACGCTCTCACATTTCCCTTCTTTCGTCTTCCCCTGCATCCCCATGACAGAAACGACTCACAAACGGTATAAACTTCACAAACGGCATAAACAATTTCGCATATACACATAAACATACAAACATACATACAACATCTATACTCTGTACAACTCATCCAGCATCCCAATCCCCCAACCCGTTTCCCTTTTCCCTTTTCCCCTCCACCATAAACTCGCAAACCCACCATTCATTTGACTATGTATCTCTTTATTCGCGACACATTTGTATCGTTACCATACCACATACTACATATCATTGCACTTGCTCTACCTTGTTTTGTTTTGTGCGTTTCCCGTTGTAGCTCTCAATACCCGGAATTTGTATTTCGTTTTTATCACCATTTAATCGCAGCCCCTTCACCTCTCCTAATTTGTTTGAATTGTTCGGGAATTTCCTTTTATAGTCTTTACTTTCGGCTTCTTTTCTTATCACCCGTCCTTTCTTACATATACCTTTTCGTTCTCTTCTCTTGACTTCTCTTTTCTTCTTTTCTTTTCGTTTCATCGGGTTCTTCTTTATTTTGTTTTAGTTTTTTTTCTCCCTCTCGTTTGTTTCCGTTCCCTGTTTGCAAATCATTGTTTTGTGTATTGCTCTGCCCACTTTCCCCTTAATGACAAGTATTGGTTTTTGTATTGTTTAGAACTTAAATCCTAGATTCTGGATCCTCTACTCAATAAGATGATGAAGAGTGTGTTTTATCATTGATGATATGTAAATATGAGTGCACCTTCCCCCATCTTTTCTTAAGTACATATATGCCCTTTGACTTCTCTTTTGTCCTGTCTTGTCGGATTTTTTGTTATTTGTTTAGACCTTATTTTTATTTTCACTCGTCCCTGTTCCCTGTCTGCCAAGCCCTGTCATTTTGTGTATTGTTCTGCCTGCCCTCCCTCCCTCCAATACTGAATATTGGTTTCCTCATTCCGGATCCCTGCTCAAGACTGCCTTTTATCAGTGATATTAGATACTTACAAGTACAGGAATTCCTGGTACTAATAGTCCGTTGATTTGACTACATGTAAGTATACTTTCTGTTACTAAAAATCCCTACAGTGTAATAATGCCAATTGATATCTGGAATAACATCCAAGCAAGCAGAAACCTTATTCACTGCTCAATATAGTAAAGCTTGCAAGCCTAAACCGGCAGACAGTAAAAATTACAACATATTGATATTCTAGGAAGGCATTTATGCAAAGTTAACGTACATTCCTGCAGGAACTGTGGCGTTTGATGATTCCATTTTCTATTCGCCAAGCCTTTACGCAACTTGTGCAAAGTTGTGCTTTATAATGGACAATTGCCCCGCCACCTCTTCCCAGATAAAACTATACACATTTTCTGTGCAAACATGGCAAGTCAAGACCAGCAGCAGAACATACAACATAAAGCGAATAAGGAAGAGATTGAAAGAATCATTACAGCTAGCAAAGAAGCTGCTTCTACTAGACTGAGAGAATACGAAGAAGAATCCGATGAATACAAGCAAGCAAGCTCTGATATGGAGAAATGGGGACAGTGGGAAGAGAAGTTCAAGCAGATCGACAAAAATGATCCTGAGTCTGTCCAGAGCCTTTTTACACAAATTCTTAGTGGTTGTCATGATGAAGTGTTTCGTCCAGTGCAACGTACATATTAGCTTGGGTTGACGAAAGTCGGTAAAACATAGAACAGAGTATGACCTAGAAACACATCTTAATTTGCATAGAGCAATCCCATAGGAATGATAGAATAGATATAAAATATAGGAGGAGTGGACTGTGGGTGCGTCCATATGCCCGTTGGACTGTGTGCTCTCAGGACCTTTGTCTTCTTTTTCTGAGAAGTGCTAGTATTGCCAGTGGCCTTTATAGTTGCTGTTGTCCAGTCCAGGACTGCTGTGGACCAGGTCCGGACCTGGACTGGACCTCTGGTCCGGTCCGATTGAGGACCGGTCCAGTTGGGTCCAACAGGGGTCCAGTCCGCGGTCCAGCGTTTGACAAAAATTTCCGGACCGCTTTGGACCGCCTGGACCCTGGACCGGACTGTGGACCGTTTATATTGTAGATACTACTTCTTTAAGGCATACAAATGGACTGTACAGAGCCTAATAGATGTGAACTACTCTTACATATATTGTATAGTGTATTGTATACCCTTTAAGTATACAAATAGACTATACTGTGTCTTACAGATGTAAACAGCAGTTTACATTGACCATGGGAACTGATTTCTATTACACTAGTACTTCTTGTGTTTTACACTTAGTATAATACAAATAATAAAAGTAATTGTATTCTGATACATATAAGCTTACATATATTCAGAAACATATTATTATAGTACTTAATAGTATATCTATCTTATATAATATGTTAATAAGACAGAATTATTTTAATATATATTATATAATTGGTCCAGAGGTCCGGACCGGGTTCGGACCTGGACTGGACCGCTGGTCCGGTCCACAAGAGGTCCAGCTGGGTCCGGTCCAAGGTCCAGGATTTCATAAGAAATCGGTCCTGGTCCGGTTCACGGTCCAGCAAAAACCTGTCTGGACCGGACCTGGACCGGACCGCGGCAACTATAGTGGCCTTGCAAATGACAAATTGTGCAAGGTCCGTGCATTCGCTAGACTTTCAAGCGTTGCTTCCTATAGCTGGGAGCTGATATTGTACAAGAAAAAGGTTATGAGGCAGTGCCAACTCTCTCTACCTACGCGACGATACATACGTACTGCGAAGCGCAGACAGCGCCCGGCCAGGGTCACGTCTCACGACCTCTCCCTCCCAGGCTCCTACCGCTCCAGGACCTCTAGCATTCGGCGACACACGTGCATCGCTTCATCTCTCCCTCCTCGTACCTGTCTCTGAGACCGAGTTGAGGCAGTTCTCACCGAGTGAGGTGCAGAATGCTCGAGCGATATTCGCTGCGAGGAGGACAGCGTATCCGAACTCGCCTGTTAATATTGTACACGCGGACTTTTTGTACGGATGTACAGAGTTCGCGGGGTTCGTACGAAACGCGGATTATTCGTTCGTCGTTCGTATGGCGCCGCCTTCTTTTGCTTGATTCGGGTTTCGTATCGAGGATTCAATCAATTTGTATTACGAGATGATGAGTTTATCACAAGACGATGACTTCATAATGTCTCAGTTAGAATACATACAATATAAGGACGAGAGACACTGAGTGGTCAATCATCACCTCACCCCTTGTTCTTGTGTGCCTTCTCTCTTCACAGGTTATAAGCCTTACACTCCCTACCTGTATTAACTTAGCAATATGGTTCCCCCTTACACTGACACACACTACAAACTAGCTGACATACTTAAATACTTTAGTCAAAACATTATAATACTTAAAACCAAAGCTAACTACAAGATGTAGCACTACTGTATTGTTTCTAGTGTTATAGTTACATGCTTCAAACACTTACTAAAGGATGAACCACAGAACAAAGCTGAGAGGGAGATGGCTAAGGCTATTCATACATGTATAGTTAATAGTATTACTAATACTATATTAGTAAACTATATGTATTTCAATATGTTTATCCCTTAGTTGATGAAGGCACTTAAAGAACACTTTAACCCTCAAACAGTATGTAAAAAGGCTATTAACAAATCAGTACTGTTTATCTGTAGAGATCATGTTAAACATTTTAGACATACATTGGACAGACTTGAGGAAGCATATACAACCCTGTCTACTAACAGTGATCCACTAAGAGACTCTACATATAAAGTAGTAATATTACTTACTACCCCTGAACAATATACACACATAGTAAATATAATAATACAATCTACCAATACTTAAAACAAAGGCAAACTAGTTAATAAACATAAGAAAGTTGAACTGAAGCAACTAATTCTTATATTATAGAATGCTTACAATGATTACTGTACTAAATGAGTACAAGATTCTAATGATTAGACAAAGAATAATGTACACACTAATACAATGTATAAAGCTAATAAGTAGAGGAAATTCAATCTGCTGAATCTGTTCAATCTGTCAAATCTGTTCAATCTGCCAAATCTGTTCAAACTGACAAAATCAAAATGTTTCAATTGTGGAAAAACAGGACATTTCTCTAAGGAATGCTACAAACCTCCTACTAAAGCTACAAAGCTTGCCTGTACCAAACATCAAGCTAACATTGTGTATAAAACAAACTAAACTGTGGAAAACATAACAAATACATTTGTTATTGAAAATCTAAACAAAAACAATGTTAAACTAAAGGAAGACAATATTGAAATGAACAATAATGCTTACACTCTTATTCTAAGCAACCAGGACAAACAATTTGAACAATATGCTTCCTAAGTATGTACTAACATATTTACAAATACAATCATAGCTAACAAGAAATTCTATACACAAATGATAGATTTACTCAATTCTAGTGTATTAATACATGCTACTCCTTATCTATTTTGATTAACAGACATACACAACATAACTTCTACAATTGTAACTATTGCAAATAGATTAACAATGACTCTTAATAGAGCTGGATCTATGTATATTGAAATCCTGAAGAATACACAAGAAAGAAGTGTTATAACATTACAAAATGTCTATTACTATCTACAAATGAACTTTTCCCTCATAAGTCAAGTACTACTATGTAGGGAAGGCTATTCTTTTATGTTTACAAACAATACTTGTACTATAACATTACTATGTAACAAATATGTCAGACATATACAGTTGAGAAATAACTTGTATATTTTGTACAATAATCATTTGTTAAAAACAATGAACAAACTATCTATTTATAATATACAAAAATGCCTCAGACATATAAGTTATAATTATATCAAACAATTATTAAAAACACAACCAAGTGTACTGTCAACTAAAATAATAAACTACAGTGAAACCTGTCATTAAGTATGACCTACTGTGAACAGGTGAGGCTATACTTAATAAGAGGTTATACTTGTTAACAGTAGCTTAAGTAAAGTAATAAAATTTCCTTATTTGTAGTACATAACTTAATAATACATTGTCTACTTAAAAAACAACCAAATATCAGTCTGTTCAAGAGAACTATTTATTTTCTTACATAGGTTTCTTGTAAGCTTTGGAAAAAGTGCTCTAGCCTTAGTAAACTCAGTACCAATCTTACTCTGAAAGAGCACATTAAGCTTTGAAAGTAATTGGACAGCCTCTGTATAGCTTTTAATGCTTCAACTTTTGTGCTTTACTATGGGCAGGATCCTTTGGTAGAGATGTATCATTGACTGTACTTGTTTGTGGATGAATACTAGTAGAAGTATGGATATCTGGAAGCAGAGCTGAGAGATTAACAGGGGAAGCTTCTCTAGAGTAAGTGAAAACAATTTTACTAGCATTCTTAAGTGTTCCATCTAGGTTCTGTACACATCCAAGCTTCTCAGACATGATAAACAATAAGTTTTAATAGTGGTTTTCATTACATTATACATTTATTTTACAAAATGGAGGTGGCCTGTACAAAAAGTGGCTCTCTCTGAGTTATAATCTGTACTGTCACATGACCCAAAATTTCCTTTAATTAAGCATATTCTTGATCTCACACTATAATGCTTAATACTTAATGCCCTTTATACTTAATATACCTCTATTTTCCTGCCTACCAACTTGGTGGATCAAATTTTTCATACTTATTGAGAGGAAATGCTAAACTACAAGTATGCTTATTGACAGGTTTTACTGTATAAAGAAAAGGAATGTATTGAATGTATAAAAGCAAATATCAAACATACACTAATACTAAAACTACAACAATCTCCTCTTACAAATCAATTTGAAGATCTTATTCATATTAATATTATTAGTCCTATCAAACTATACACATAAGAATATATGCTACTTATTAACAATTGTAGATGATTCTACTCATTAGTGTATAATGCTCAAATTACAAACAAAATCTGATACATATACACAATATATACAATAGACAACTAAAATATTTACACAGTACAGAGTTAAAATAAAGCTTTTACAAAGTAATAACAATACTGTATTCCTTAGTAAAGATTTCTAACAATATTTAGATTCATAAGGAACAAAACAAAGATTAACAGTACATTATACTCTACAACAGAACAGAATAGTAGAACAAACTCATAAAACTATATTCAGAGGTGTAAGAGTATATCTAACATTTACTAAACTACTATTCACATTATAGGCTGAAGTAGTAATTCATATTACTTATATTCATAATAGAACACTGTGTACTGTATTAAATTATAATACTCTATATTACAAATGTTACAGAACTCACAGAACAATTGATAATATACACAAATTTAGTTAATATATTATCATTTGTAACAAAAATCCTACAAAAATACAGTAGTAAGGTATAATTACTTGTTAGATAGAATTAGACAATGAAAGTAAAGGTTATAAAACTTAGTATAATAATAAAATTACTATCAAACAAAATATCCAATTTCTCAAAGGTAAACCTTGTTATGGTTCTCTACTCTTACACCTTCAGTTCTGAGAGTTCTACACCCTTCTATACTAGAACTCAGGACTTCTGTCCCTCAGGAGTACTGTTTATAGATTATATACAGGCTGACTCTTACTATTACCCTTTCTTACTTTATCATTCTATTCCTTTGACCACCCTTTCATTCCTTGTTCATTCTATAGTCTCTTACCCTTTGTCTATCCTTTCATTCTTTGTACCTTTATCTTTGACCTTCCTTTCTTTCATTCTTCATAACTTATTATTCTTAGTAGCTTATATTCTGTAAGTACTCTTGTATAGTTTAGTATATATAAGTGTATAAGATCAGACTAGTCCTATAGTCTTGATCTTGTCTACTCTAGGTAGTTCTGTACTCTTAGACTTACTCTATATACTCTACTCTTGTCTCACTCTCTCTCTGTGTCTGTTCTACAAGTTCTGACTACATTCTAGTACTTGTGTTCTGTATTTCTATTGTATAGAATAGTTATAGTCTGAGTCCTCTTACTAAGCCTTCAGGTCCCCTCTACACTGTTACTAACATTAGATTAAGACTACCTATTACAGTGAAACCTGTCATTAAGTATGACCCACTGTGGACAGGTGAGGCCATGCTTAATAAGAGGTTATGCTTGTTGACAGTAGCTTAAGTAAAGTAATAAAATTTCCTTATTTGTAGTACATAACTCAATAATACATTGTCTACTTAAAAAACAACCAAATATCAGTCTGTTCAAGAGAACTATTTATTTTCTTGCATAGGTTTCTTGTAAGCTTTGGAAAAAGTGCCCTAGCCTCAGTAAACTCAGCACCAATCTTACTCTGAAAGAGTGTATTAAGCTTTGAAAGCAATTGGACAGCCTCTGCATAGCTAATGAGTGGTTCTGGCTCTGGCTCCAGAGCCTCAAGCTCTGGGATATGCTCACCAATAGACTCCTTCTTATCATACTCAACCTGCTCCAATATCTCCTCATCAGTCCACTTAGCCTCAGTAATCTTTTTGTCCAGTATGTTGAGGAGTTCTTCTGCTGTAGGAATGTTCATTGCCAGCACTGTTCTACCATTCAATTTAACCTCCTCCAGAGCTGCTGAAAGCTCAGAGATAGCCTGAGTGACTCTAGTAGTATACTGCTGGAGCATAGGATCAATAGGAATAGCTGTATCCTGTACAATTGTGAGATTACAGATAGAGAGTACAAGAAAAACGAATTGCTTACCTCCTGAGACATATCCTTTGCCTGAAGTATCCTAGCATGCTTCCAACAGTTTGCCACTGTCTCCAGAGTGATCTTTTCCCAAGCCTTGAGTGAGAGACACATTCCTTCAAGCTGGTTGATGAAATATATGTTTTCAGCACCCTCTTTATATTGACTAAGAGATCCAAGGATGTACAGACAGTGGTAGTGAGCTTTGAACACACAAATAATCCTAGCATCCATTGGTTGGATGTGGGAAGTCATGTTTGGGTCAAGGAATACAACTTTAGTGTTCTTGAGTTTCTTTGTGTCAAAGATATGTGAAGGGGCATTGTTGATTAACAAGCAAATCTTCCACTTTTGCTGACCCATGTCCCTGTCCAACTTATCTAGGAACCTGTAGAGTACATTAATATAAGGAATGCATGTGCATAGAGTTTGCTATACTCACAATTGAAATATAGAACCTGTCATCCAAGCCTTCTTATTCCAATAATATTCGAATCCAAGTACTGAACCCTCCTTCTTATTAAAACATTGTGGTTTTCTAGCATGCCCAATAAACAATGGGCCCCTTATATCAGATCCATCAGCATTAGCAATGAAGCCAAGGGAGATACGAGTTTTATCTCCCTTGCCTCCAGAGAGCTGCTTTGTAGTAAGCAAACAATCAGGTGGCATGCAATAGTAAAGACCTGTCTCATCAAAGTTGTAAATATCTTGAGGTTCATAGCTTGATAGCTTAGCTTGAAGACAGTTCTGGGCTTCAGATACAGCCTGAGCTGAGACAGAAGCTGCTTCCCCATGCAGCTTGTACTCTCTAATTCCATTGTGTTCCTTGTATGTGTCCACCCATCCATTTGATAGTTTGAGACATTCTCCCTCCAGTATTCCAAGCATTTCAGCAAACTGCTTGGCCTTCAGTTTTAAAACGGCTCCTGTGATCCTGAGACAGTCTTGTGCTGTCAAAACAAAAAGATTGAGGGCCTCTTCAAGTTGTGGATACGTTACAGACTTGGAAAGCAGACGTTTGTAGAAGATTTGATTAGGATTCTTTTGGACTGCCTCTCAAATATGTGTTGCATTTTGAATGATAGCATGCACAGAAGACTGGTGCAGCTTAGGAAAGCAGTCTCTGAAGTGCTCAGCAATTTTCTCTTGAGATAAGGATTTTCCAGGCCCCTCTGCAAAGTCTAAGATCTCTAGTTTATCTCCATAGGTGTATGCAACACACTGCTGAGTCTTTACAGCTGCTGTACTGGATTGCTTGCCCAATTTCTGGGGCTTTTGATGCTTCAACTTTGGTGCTTTACTATGTGCAGGATCCTTTGGTAGAGATGTATCATTGACTGTACTCGTTTGTGGATGAATACCAGTGGAAGCATGGATATCTGGAAGCAGAGCTGAGAGATTGACAGGGGAAGCTTCTCTAGAATAAGTGAAAACAATTTCACTAGCATCCTTGAGTGTTCTGTCTGGGTTCTGTGCACATCCAAGCTCCTCAGACATGATGAATGATAAGTTTTAATAGTGGTTTTCATTACATTACACATTTATTTTACAAAATGGAGGTGGCCTGTACAAAAAGTGGCTCTCTCCAGGTCATGATCTGCACTGTCACATGACCCAAAATTTCCTTTAATTAAGCATATTCTCGATCTCACACCTTAATGCTTAATGCTTAATGCCCTTTATACTTAATATACCTCTATTTTCCTGCCTACCAACTTGGTGGATCAAAATTTTCATGCTTATTGAGAGGAAATGCTAAACTACAAGTATGCTTATTGACAGGTTTCACTGTACTACTCTACAACTCTCTTATGTTTCAGGCATTAGTACTTACTATTGTGTTAATCTCTTTTCTTTGTTCTAACCCTTTTAAATTTTTAAATTTTAAACTTTCTAAACCCTTTTAAACTTTTGTCATCCTTCTTCTATTCATTACCCTTTTTAGTTTAGTGTTGATTCCTTTGTAGTATAAACATGGACCCTTCTACACTAACTACTACCCCTACTGTCCTACTAGATTAGTAGTTATAAGTAGACCTAACTTAATACATGTAGACCTCTATCTAAGAGACCTTTACTAACTATGTACCCTCAGCCTCCTCAGAACCTGTTCTAATCATTCTAGAAGTTGTAACCTGTTTTAGAAAGAAAGTGTATGTAGTCTACTCTTCAGACTTTAATAGATAGTACTTTAAGGACTTCTAGTACTAAGTTGAACTATATATGACTACTACTTTAACTAATCTATTCTCAGATCTTAATCACATCCTATTTGTCCTCTCCTTCATAAAGGAAGGTAACACAGCCACTTGGGCCCAGAACTGGATTAAAGGCTATCAGATCAGAAGCCTGATCTGACTTTAAAATAATGAGTCATATTTAAAATTTATAGAGTAGCTCTGTACTTCCTTTATTAATTTGAATAAGAAGTATAATGTGTAGAACAAGCTTACATCTCTGTAACAGAGCAAACATTCTACTAATACCTTCTTCCAGGAGTTCAATATCCTGGCCTAGAAGGTAGGATTCACACTCAGGTTCAATAATGTTCTTATTAGAATGCTTGAAAAAGCTCTCTACCTAGAACTAGTTAATAAGATTCTCAGAATAATACTAGAACTAATTACTTACACTAAGTAGAAGATACACACCATTTCCTTTAACTAAGCTATAGCTTAAATGTATTAAGTCTGTACAGAACACTTACATATGTGTCTGACTCTAACAGTTCTGAGCTCTTAGATTAATCTGTTTGTAATTCACAATTAATCTGTTCTAATAGACATTAGAGAAGCCTGAAAGTAAGGAGTATACTTTACTTACAGAAAGTCAGGGCACTAAATTAAGGACTGTTTACAGAAGCAACAGTATATCTGTTAGGTTATTAGAGTAATAATGAGTAATAAGCAGGATTTGTAGCAAGAAGCCTTTTCTACAAATCTAAAAGTCATCTTAGAACTCTTAAACTCTAACTATATACTCTAGGATTTTGTAGAGACCTAACAGTAAATGTAGTACTGAAGGGCTATAACTCAGATTTTTTAACAGTTACTTTTGATTCAATAGACACTGTAGGATTAGAAGTAAATAAAGTAAGAAAAGTAGAAAAAGTAGAAAAAGTAAATCAACAAAATTATTTATTAAAAAGAAAAAAGTTGAAAACAAAAGTAAATAGTTCTCTTATTTCTTCTGATTCTTTTAATTCTTCTCTTTGTACTTTATCTGAGTCTAAATCCACACAATCTGACCTACTACTTCTGTGTTCTAAGAACTCAGAATGTTTAGAACACTACCTAGTCCTGTTTACTACTTAGTAGTTTATTTGTAGTATTAAGTAGGGATAGTCTTAGCTAAGTTCACAGTTGAGGACATGAGTCTGTCCTTGTTGAAAGAGAGAGGTTAATAAGGAAATGTTAGTATATATACTTACTCTCTTAGACAATAAGGTTACACAAGTTGTATGTTCCCTTTAGAATAAGTAGTAATTTATTAGAGGACACTCTGAACACTAGCTTTAAGTTCCTGTCCTCTTGGCTCCCTTCTTAGAATCCTCCCAGATTTAAACAATAGCTCTAGTAAACAGTAGATACACTAGTTTGTACATTAATAAGGCTTTTGTGTAAGAACACTACCTTCTTACTCAACATGTTCTACTTTCAATCCTAGTATATAATGTGAACAGAACTCTGAACTGGAATGGTCAGATTACTGAGTTTGTCTAACTACAGATAACCATTTAGGATTATAAGGAAAGTATTGAGTTTAGAGTTACTAACCTTAGAAAGACAGTTGTCTTTATTAGATTTGAATAGCTTAAGGCTTACAACCCTACTATTAACTAGTTAGAGTAGACACTTGTGTTTAATTAGTGTCCTAAGTTTTGTGACTATCTTGTACTACTGTCTTAAGTAGATACAAACACTTTTAATGTTACTAACAGTTCTAATAAAGGTAACTAGTTGTTCTTCTTTAACTAGGATGAATATGTAGACACATATTCTAGTCAAGGTGGAACAGAGTCAATCTGAAGAATGTCTAAGACAGAACCAGTCTAAAACCCTCTTAGAACAACTCTACTCTAGAATACACATAGACTCAGCCTACCAGATTTTGTCTGAGAGTTTCCTAAAGTTTTTAGTAAAGAGGAATTTGACCAGCTTTCTGAATACTACCTCTAAGACTATGTAATCAAATTGACTAAGGGTTTCCAACTTAAGGATTGTAAGGTCTACCTACTCAACAGAGACAAGTAGGAGGTGCTTAACAAGTTCCTTTAGGAAAATCTTTAGAACAGTCAGATCTGACCCTTAAAGTCTTCTATAGCCTCCTCTTTCTTCTTTGTCAAAAAGAAAGATAAGAAGCTCTGTCTAGTCTAGGATTATTATTGTCTTAATAAAGGTACTATTAAAAACAAGTACCTACTCTCTCTGATTCAGGAGCTCATTAATAAGACACATACATTCAGAGTTTTTACTAAGTTGGATGTTTAATAAAGATACAATAACATTCAGATCTAAGACAGAGATGAGTAGAAGGCTGTGTTCTAAACTAATTGTAGATTATACAAACTAACTATAATATTCTTCAGACTAACTAACTTGCTTACAACATTCCAGTCATTCATGAATCACATTCTTACAGATCTGATTAACTTAGAGTATGTTAGTATGTATCTAGACAACATTCTAATCTTTACTCAGACAGTTAAGTATTATTACTGACTGATCCAAGTAGTTCTATAATAACTCTAAAATAATAAACTGTTTCTCTAAGAAGTAAAGTGTTCTTTTACACAAGAGTTAGTAGATTATTTAGGCTTTATAATTGGTAGAGGAGAGGTCTGTATAGATCTAGTAAAGGTAACTGTAGTTTAGAACTGACTATAACTTTAGAACCTGAAACAGGTCTAAGCATTCCTTAAGTTTGTAAACTACTACTAATACTTTATTTAAAGCTTTAGTACTATTGTTTGACCCCTTCACAATCTTACTAGCAAAGATGTTCCTTAGTAATAGAGGGATTAGTAATAGTCTGTGTTTGAGTCTCTTAAGTAGGCTATTACTAGTAAGCTTATATTAGTAGTTCTAACAGTTGTGGACAAGTTCTGAGTTAAAGCTGACTCTTCTAACTTTACAAATAGAGTAGTACTGTCCTAGTTTATTGACAGAAAGTAGTGTCTGATAGTGTTCTAATCAGAATCCCTCTCTGTAACAGAATAGAACTACTCTATCTATAACAAGAAACTCCTTACAATTGTCTGTTCCCTAGAGGAGTAACATTAATATCTCCTTAGTACTGTACAGAAGTTTGAGATTTAGAGTAATCACCTTAATCTCTAGTACTTTTAAGCACTTTAGAAGCTCAACTATTACTAGGCCTACTAGATGTTAGAACTGTAGAACTATAACTTTGTACTAACTTACAAACCTGAAACACAAATGACAAAAGCTGATTTACTCTTAAGACAAGTAGGTTATAAAAGAGGAGAGAATAATAACAAAAATCTTGTTCTCCTAGACAATTCCTGTTTTGTGTCTGAGACAATCTAAGAGATCTGACTCAAATTCAAGAATGTTAACTTTGTCACCTACATACAGTAAGTTCTAAGACACATATAGGACCAAGTTGTAATAAAGTAGTTAGAGAAGTAGGCTAAAGATTAGAAGGAGGATAAGGATGGACAAGTTTACTAGAAAGGCTGACTATATGTTCTGAAGGATCAGAAGCTATAGGAGGACATTGTCTGAGCTTATTATAATAATCTAACTATAGGACATTCAGGCTAACACAAAATGTAGGAACTTATTACTCAGAACTACTAGTAGTTAAGAATGTAGAGGGAAATCCTAAAGTATATAACTGGTTACAATACATACTAACAGACTAAGGCTTACTAGATAAGGGTTTAGACTCTCCTACATTTATATTAGATCCTGGATCACTCTTAGGAAGAAGTCTCAGTAGACCTGATTAGTAAGCTATCTGAGTCTTAGAGTTACAACACTATCTGTATAATTGTTAACCAATTCTCTAAGCAAGTCTATACAGTCCTAACCTGAACAGAACTTACTTCTGAAAGTATAATATACATTTATCAGAATCATGTCTTCTAGTTACACAGACTCTCTTAGAAGCTTATTCACAATTGTAGACTATAATTTGAGTCAAAATTTATATAAGACTTGTACATACTTCTTAGAATTCAAGAGAATCCTTCTACTACATATTACTTACAGACTAATAGTTAAACTAAGTAAGTTAATCAGAAGATTAAGCTCTATTTCTGAATGTTCATCAATCATTAGTAGCTAGACTAGTCTGAATAGTTAGCTCTAGCAGAATTTGTGTATAATAACTAGTAACACTCTATAACAGGACAGTCTCTGTTCTTCCTCAACTATGAGAGACATTTGTACTAGGGGACAGTTCTAAACTGAAACAGTAGTTCTGAATCTGTAACAAACTTTGTAGAATAGATACACAAGACTAGGGAAGAC